TTAATTATCCAAAATTTTCTTCGATATGAATATTCATCTCCCCGGACTTCAGATAATTCAGATTTACCGTGGGCAAAAACAAAGTTATATTTATAGTTTATACAAGAGTATTATTGATATATTAACAAACTATGGATTTCAAAATATAGATTTATTAATTAAATGTTTTTAATATTCTTCTCCCTCTCCTTCTTCTCCTTCACCTTCAACAGAATCAACTCCAACTTCTTCATAATCTTTCTCTAGAGCAGCTAAATCTTCTCTAGCTTCAGAGAATTCACCTTCTTCCATACCTTCACCAACATACCAGTGAACGAAAGCTCTCTTGGCATACATCAGATCAAATTTATGATCAAGACGAGCCCAAGCTTCAGCAATAGCAGTGGTGTTACTCAACATACAAACAGCTCTCTGGACCTTGGCTAAATCACCTCCTGGTACAACAGTTGGTGGTTGGTAGTTGATACCCACTTTGAAACCAGTAGGACACCAGTCAACAAATTGGATGGTTCTCTTCGTCTTGATGGTGGCAATAGCAGCATTAACATCCTTGGGAACAACATCACCTCGATATAACATACAGCAAGCCATGTATTTACCATGACGAGGATCACATTTGACCATCTGGTTGGCTGGTTCAAAACAAGCGTTGGTGATTTCAGCAACGGAAAGTTGTTCATGATAGGCCTTTTCAGCTGAGATGACTGGGGCATAGGTAGCCAGAGGGAAATGGATACGTGGGTAAGGTACCAAGTTGGTCTGGAACTCTGTAAGATCGACGTTCAAGGCACCATCAAATCGGAGTGAAGCAGTGATTGAGCTGACGATTTGTCCTATCAATCGGTTTAAGTTGGTGTAGGTTGGTCTTTCAATATCGAGATTTCGTCGACAGATATCATAGATAGCCTCGTTATCCACCATAAAGGCACAATCGGAATGTTCCAATGTGGTATGGGTTGTAAGGATGGAATTGTATGGTTCTACCACAGCAGTTGATACTTGTGGAGCAGGATAAACAGCAAACTCCAATTTGGATTTCTTTCCGTAATCGACGCTCAATCTTTCCATCAACAAGGAAGAGAAACCGGATCCGGTTCCTCCACCAAAGCTGTGGAAGATGAGGAATCCTTGAAGACCAGTACATTGATCAGCCAGCTTCCTGGTTCTGTCGAGGACCAGATCAATGAGCTCTTTGCCAACAGTGTAATGACCTCTGGCATAGTTATTAGCAGCATCTTCTTTACCAGTGATGAGTTGTTCAGGATGGAATAGTTGACGGTAAGTACCAGTTCGGACTTCATCTACTACTGTTGGTTCCAAATCAACAAATACAGCTCTTGGCACATGTTTACCAGCTCCAGTCTCGCTGAAGAAAGTGTTAAAGGAATCATCTCCACCTCCAATAGTTTTATCAGAAGGCATCTGACCATCAGGTTGGATACCATGTTCTAAACAGTACAACTCCCAACAGGCATTGCCCATCTGGACACCAGCTTGGCCAACATGGATAGAGATACACTCACGCTGAAAAGATAAGAATCTTTTAGTACCAAGTTAAAAGAGGGAAAGATATGAAAACGACATTCTATCTTTGTCAACTATGTATTCCATTGCATAGAACAATAAAAATCAGTACTCACCATTTTGAAGAATTGTTTTAGAGTTTGAAGACGAGAAACTTGCAGGAAGATTTGAAGATAAACCAAGACAAGATGGTATCACTGAATGTCTTGTGGTCGGTTTAGATTTCTATTTATACCTGAAATAAGAGCTCGGTTGTCATGTTGTTTGTATGTTGTTAGTTATGGTTGTTTATCACCTGGATTAAGAGGTGAACTAACTGTCTAACTCGATATTGACAATTTAAACCGATTAACTATAATCCGTTAATCTCATTATAGATTAGATTAGATAATCCAATTGTATCAGATTGGATTAACTGTAACTATCTCATTAAATCAATGTTGTGGACGGAGATTTTAAAATGTTCATGGTAACTGTCTATGTAATATCACGGTAGTATGGTATAAAACGCTGTACGATTCCTACCAAATCATTCAACTTTCAACACCTCTTCTCTTCACTTCTTGATACCAGTCAGTTTTATAAACTTCAAAATGAGAGAAATCGTCCATATGCAAACTGGTCAGTGTGGAAACCAGATCGGAGCCAAGGTAAGCAACTACTTTTTTTCACAAAATATGTATTTTACTTCTACGCTATAAAATGAACATATGAAAACTAAATGAAAGTTTGAAAGAGTCAATAGAACCTAGCTAGTTTGATATATCTTTTTTATTTTCTGTTTCAGTTCTGGGAAGTGATCTCTGATGAACATGGTATTGACCCAACTGGAACTTACCACGGTGATTCAGATCTTCAGTTGGAGAGAATCAACGTTTATTATAATGAAGCTACTGGTGGTAAATATGTACCCAGAGCTGTTCTTGTCGACTTGGAACCTGGTACCATGGATTCTGTACGATCAGGACCATTTGGGCAGATCTTCCGTCCTGATAACTTTGTCTTTGGACAATCTGGTGCCGGTAATAACTGGGCTAAAGGTCATTATACAGAAGGTGCTGAATTGGTAGATTCCGTTCTAGATGTGGTCCGCAAAGAAGCTGAAAGCTGTGATTGTCTCCAAGGATTCCAGTTGACCCATTCTCTAGGCGGTGGAACTGGTTCTGGTATGGGAACCCTCCTCATCAGTAAAATTCGAGAAGAATATCCAGATAGAATCATGAACACCTTCTCTGTTTGTCCTTCACCAAAGGTATGTTGAGTGTTATTGTTTTTTTAAATACTACCTTCAAAACTTTCTGACCAGAGCATTTTATCCTCTAAGAAAGTATGAATGGTAGACTAGGAGCGGATGGTTTTTGTTGATTGAGGTTTAAGCACAAAATTATCATTTCAAATTTCTTTACAAATCTGCATCTTTATAATTTCAGGTATCTGATACAGTTGTGGAACCTTACAACGCCACCCTCTCAGTTCATCAACTGGTAGAAAATACAGACGAGACTTATTGTATTGATAATGAGGCTTTGTATGATATCTGTTTCCGTACCCTCAAACTGACCACACCCACTTACGGTGACCTCAACCATCTGGTATCCGCCACCATGTCTGGAGTGACCACCTGTCTCCGATTCCCTGGTCAACTCAATGCTGATCTCCGAAAGTTGGCCGTCAACATGGTACCATTCCCACGTCTACATTTCTTTATGCCAGGATTTGCCCCTCTCACCTCTCGAGGTTCCCAGCAATACCGAGCTCTGACTGTACCAGAACTTACCCAACAGATGTTCGATGCCAAGAACATGATGGCTGCCTGTGATCCTCGTCATGGTCGTTATCTGACAGTAGCTGCCATGTTCAGAGGTCGTATGTCCATGAAGGAGGTGGATGAACAGATGTTGAACGTTCAGAATAAGAACAGCAGCTACTTTGTTGAATGGATTCCCAACAACGTGAAAACTGCTGTTTGTGACATTCCACCAAGAGGTCTGAAAATGTCTGGTACATTTATTGGTAATACGACCGCCATCCAGGAACTCTTCAAGAGAATCTCAGAACAGTTTACTGCCATGTTCAGACGAAAGGCTTTCCTCCATTGGTATACTGGTGAAGGTATGGATGAGATGGAATTTACTGAAGCTGAATCCAACATGAATGATCTAGTATCTGAATATCAACAGTATCAGGATGCTACAGCTGAAGAAGAAGGAGAATTTGATGAAGAAGAAGGGGAACAAGACGATGCTTAGTTAATTGTAATATTTATATTTTGTGTCATTTATTAAATCTCTTATTTCTTTAAATTTATTTGTCGAATGATTGTGGGGAGAGGGAGGGTGCTGATCGAATGAGCGGGCCTAACCCACTAAATTCCCCCTCATTTAAACCACAAGATGATCATTCGAGTTTCCTGATTTTGGTTATCTTAAAATTTATACATTGATACACAGTTTAAAAAATAAAGTAAATTATGGGGGCCGCTGTAGCTCAGTTAGTTGGATGTTTGCTCTTTAAGTCAAGGTCGACCTGTAGGCCTACTGTACAGTATCGCCTTTATGACGTTTTTGCATCTAGACCTATGTCTTAAAGGAGCTATTTGATTTTTTATTTAGGTTAGAAGAGTTAGGTACTCAAATTAATTGAAACTATTCATCAAAATTTGGAGAAATACCTCATTTATCATAGTTGAATATTTAATCTTGCCATTAATTTGTTGAACGGAAAAACTACTTTAAAGGTTGACGGACACATTTTGAATTCGCTATGTTTTAGCTGGTTTTGGAAAACTGATATCAATACTCATTTTTTTTAATTTACCCTTCCTCGTTCACTTCTTTTATGGGCGCTAAGCTCGGATACTGCAATTTAATGCTGTGTCTGTTAAAATCAAATTATCTTTTCTTGGTATTCCCCCTGTTACTATTTATAACCACACCGGAAGTGTCTCCTCTAATATGGATAACAAAATCAAAACACAAGGTTTGTTTTGAAATAAATGGATATTTCCGCTTTATTTACGAGAACGTGTGAAACTGGAATGATTCTGGTTATTTCTGAACAAAATCCGTCTTTTTAAAGGCTTACTCACAAACCATGTTGAACTTGTAGATTGGCAATTAGGCTGTTTCTTAGTTCAAGACTTATTATGCCGCAACTCTTATTAGTTATTTCTTCAGTTAGTCTTTTCAAATTTCATGACAGATGTCGTTTCTGATTCAGTATAATCCGACACTGACTAATCCAGCACAAGCTCTCATTTTTATGTCTGAGAGATACTGTACTATTTTATTGTCCTAGCAACTGTATATGATCCAAAGTCAACCCGTATTTTGCATAGTGCATCAATTACATCCAATTTAATGTTAAACTTTCCTTCCATTTCATAAAATTCTAATCTAGATTGATATCAGTTATAGTTGACTGTATTTGGATTTTGTAAATGGTTTATGAAATGACTTAAGTTTAATGATATCAGAATGAATGAGCCACCGTTCACTTTACGAATCCATGTTGAGGGACAACAGGACATGGACTGGATGGTGCAACCCGAAGATGTCACTTTTCAACGTACATTGGTAAGTGGGAACCATTAATAACTAGTTAAGATGCCCCTTATCTTACATTTGCGTGTATAGTGCTAGTTTCTAAACCCTAAAAAGAACTTGCAAACTGAGCATGTGGCCAAAAATTGATGTGTAATAAGGACTTATTATGAAGCTATACTTAAGGCAGTCAGTCGAGACAGGTCTATCAATGGATACTTAGGATGTGATCTAAATGCTCATCGATAACATATTGTATGGCCTAATTCTTTACTCTAAAGATATTATTATTATTATTAACCAAATCGCTCTTTTATTTTGATCTCATTTGTTACAAACTTTTCACGAGACATCTTGACGGTGTGTACTTGATTTTGATTTTTTCAATTAACAATATTTAATTATTACAGGAAGTTATTTCTCAACTGTTGCCCCATTCTACTATCACAGCTTTTGAATGTAAGTCAATTTTTAAATCAAATATTATGTACAATATTTATTGGACTGATGGCAAACTGATGGTAATTCTCTCTGGAGGAGTCCACTACTGTACAACTTTTACTCTTGATTTCAACATTCTTTGGATGAGATATTGTAATTCATATTGTTAATTAGTATATTGAGTTAATTAGTATTTTGAGTTAATTGATATTGTAATTAATTAGATGAAGATGAAGATAATGATAGAGTAACTGTACGAGGGGATGATGAAATGAGAAATATGTTTGCTGATGTGAGTTTTTAAACTGTTTCCATATTTCAGAGTAAGCGAAAAACATTGATACTTTCCAAGAAAATGTATAATGTAGATCTATGACCATTGTTAAATGTATTAGATAAACTGGCCCAATTTTTGGTCCCTATTTCAAAAATAGACTCATGATGGGGTAATAATAGGAATTTTCAGTAATCGCATCCATTTTTGGCTCACCATCTTTATTTTTTGTTGTTGTTATTTTCAGTATTTTACAGAATTAAGTGAAGAAGATCGAGCACGTGGAATGTTTCCTCCTCTTATTATTTATCCTAAATGTATGTTCTATTCATGATTTTAAAACCATGGGATAGAAACTCTTCTTCAGACTTCTGTCTATCCACCAGGACCCCTTATCAATAAGAGATGGGAAATTTGTTCATGGAGAAAATATACAATAGTTTTAGATATGTTAAAGAGATGATGATGTGGTCCTTGATGGATTTACTGACAGTCATATTGACAGATATACCTACCCTTTGTGTTCTTTTTGTTGGTTATAGGAGACACATTCTTTTTATTGTGATGGGACAGGAAAAACAATTACAAGAGAAATTCTTATTGTCTCTTTAAACTTGTAAGTTTTCTTTACAGTAGGAAAATCATCTCAGGTTCGAAATTTACTGGGGCTGAAGATAAAAACTTCTAAATCTGATTCTGGGAATGAACAGGAAATGTCTACAGCTCCACCTGATTCTAAGCTGGATAGGTAAGTTGAAAAATAGGAAGCACCAGGTAGCACCAAAATTAAACATATCTTAAAGGCACAGATACACTATTTTGGGGGGTTGATTTTAGAGCTCCTATCCATGTTTGTCCAGAATTATCTGCGTTTAAACGTTAAAATGATTCGTCAATTTAAGATACTCTGTGATATATAAAAGACGTATATAGAAATAATGAGTAAAATTCCTAGTATGAGATATTTTTATAGGAATTATGTGATTTCCGTAAATATCTAGTACTTTTGATGACAATATTTTCATATATTCAAAACTCAAATCAACCTCCCAAAATGGTACATCTGATCCTTTAACAAATACTATGTCTGTTACAGTTCCAGTGATAGTAATAAAAGTATTCACCAGATTTTGGCCTGTGGTTCCATGAAGGAAGAAGATTTACAGTATGTCCAGGTTTTAGGATCTGGTAATGGTGGACAAGTTTATAAGTATGTTTTTTATTTAGTTTAAAAAGTTAGACAAAAGTTATGTATTGAAGAATAATTATGTTTGTAATGACATGATCCATTTTCATTATTTTTATTGATTAGTTTTGCTTTTGCAACTGAATAAAATGTATTTTTGAACAATTTTATCAATTGAAATTCTTGATCTTAAATCCAAAATCCTAGTAAAAATTCAGACTAGTTTTTAGATGAAAGTGGTGTGTAAGTGAAATTATGAAAGTAAAAAAAAAACAAAAGAAAACAAAAACAAAATACGTTTTCTGAAACAAATAGATACATTAAAATTAGTGAGAAACATGTCTTATTTATCTGTAACCAACATTTGTAAAGTAAAGAAAATGATAATGCTTTAGCTAGGAAACCAAAACTTGATTGATGTCTAGGAATCAAAGATATTTTTTTATGATAATTTCAGAACAATCCACAAGTCGACCAAATCTTTGATGGCTTTAAAGGTAAGTGTGAAGTTTTTGTAAGTATCTGACACCCAAAAAATTGAGGTTTCACTTCTACTACAAGTACTGTATACATAATTTCTGTTTTTTATTCAAAATTTACAGGTTATACAACTAGATTTAACTCCTTTAGTTCAAAAACAGATTTTATCAGAAATGGAAATATTACATAAGGTATATTACATGTTTTTCTAAGAAATATTTTGTCTATAAAATGGTTTTCAACTGATTAAGGTCTTTGAAAATTTTCTAATTATATGGATAGAACCTCAAGATATATAGATATACTACTTCTAGGTTTATTACATACTACCAAACAGGAAGGTAAACATTAAAAATACAAGATATATAGATATACGACTTCTAGGTTTATTACATACTACCAAACAGGAAGGTAAACATTAAAAATACAAGTTATATGGATATACGACTTCTAGGTTTATTACATACTACCAAACAGGAAGGTAAACATTAAAAATACAAGATATATAGATATACGACTTCTAGGTTTATTACATACTATACTATGTTTCGTTTCCATTTATCTAGAGAACGTTACCTGTATGTGTTTAGAAACATAGTATGTAATAAACCTAGAAGTAGTATATCTATATATCTTGTGTTTTTAATGTTACCTGTATGTGTTTAGAAACATAGTATATAATAAACCTAGAAGTAGTATATCTATATATCTTGTGTTTTTAATGTTACCTGTATGTGTTTCGAAACGTAGTATATAATAAACCTAGAAGTAGTATATCTATATAACTTGTGTTTTTAACGTTACCTGTATGTGTTTCTAAACGTAGTATATTATAAACCTAGAAGTAGTATATCTATATAACTTAATGTTTATCTTCCGACTTCTATATGTCTTACAAAGATTATGGATAGAACTGTTCTGCAGATTGTGAACACAAAAGTTGCAAATTCATATTAAAAAAGAATTAACTATTGCAAATTTGTCCTGGTTGCACACAGCATTATGTTTCCTATCTTCATTAGCTGTTTCAGATGGAAGAAAAATGTAAAATTCTATTCTGTTTGATTCCTGATATTTTTCAGTGCAATTCAGTGTCTATAATAGCTTTCTATGGTGCTTTTTTCAATGAAAATAAAATTTCTATTTGTACAGAGTATATGGATGGTAAGTCTAAACAATTATTCTTAATTGTGTATTAAAGTTGATTAGATTGTTTATTGAGGCTGGATGTGTGAAATAGGACATCATGGCAACGGTGATATCTAGAACATGTCTACTGTATATTTCCCAATATAATGGGCAAGCGTGTATAATGTGACCCCTTCCTTACCCCATCAAAATCTGGAATAATTCATTTACCTGTATATAATGTGCAGTATCTGCCACTATCTAATTCTGATACAACAATGTTGTCTGTTAATCTCACAAAATTCATGAAAATAACACCTACTCCCCCCTTCCCCCTCCCCTCACAGTTCCAGACATTTAAGAACTTTATGATGAGAATTTTGATGAGAAGTAGAGGAGCCAAAACCTGGTCAGCCCCAGTGTGGCCACTGGTAACTATGTCTTGTTAATTTCAGGAGGATCTTTGGATAGATATATTCCAGTTCCTGAAAATGTGCTGGGTGCCATGTCTGCCCATATAATAAATGGTTTAGTCTATATGTGGAACCTGAAAATACTGCATAGAGGTAAGAACAAACTAAAAATGGAAATGTTGACTTAACATCAATGGTGGTGTTTATATGTTGAAATTAGACAATCATTGTTAATATTACATGTATAAATATTTTGTTATTGAATATATTTTTGATATATTGAAATGATTGTACAAAAGATAGTGAAGATTTTGAAAGATTTGTACCTCTAATGTGATGTTTTTTTTTATAGATATCAAACCCTCCAATATTCTAGTGAACTCTACTGGTCAAGTCAAATTATGTGATTTTGGAGTCAGCACACAGGTAAGTATTAACTGAATATAACTGAATTTTCATTGAACCACAGAAAATTTGAACAGTGCAAAACAATGCCATCAGTGTCCCGTATGCACATACAAATATATGTAAATGTACTTGCTTTATTGCTTATTGCAAACTGAGCATTTACAAGGATAAAGCCCCTATGTCTTAAATGCATGATTTTGGTTTTACATATCAAAAGTAATAGCTAGCTGTTTTCTATGAAAACACTGTCATATCACAGGTTTTGAACATTATTGATTTTGATGGGTTTTTATTAGTAAACGTTGAATTATGAACTAGAATAAATTTGATTTTATTTCAGCTAGTGAAATCGATAGCTACCTCGTTTGTTGGAACCAATGTTTATATGGCCGTAAGTTTTCATTTTATTTGGAATGAATTCAAGTTCACTTTATTTCATGAATCCTCTCACATGACTAATCTCTGATTCATTTCAAGGTTGAAAATTTTGTAGAGATTTCCTATTAATTTCCAAAGTATTTTCTTGACAAAACTTTTTCAAAATTGTTTCTATCTTCAAGGTCTGGAACGTTATTCTTGAATCCTTAATTGAAATTTTAAGAAATGTAATTGGTTAGTACAGTTTAATTTAAATTAATTTTATAGATTTGTAAATTTTTGTAAATAGAACCCCTAGCTTGTAAAAGGAGTATAAAACTCGATTTTATTTGTTGTGATTTCAGCCAGAAAGAATTCAGGGTGAAGAATATAATATTTTAGCTGAAGTTTGGAGTCTGGGGGTCACGCTGTTCGAGGTGAGATTTAATTTTAAATACAGTTTCAATCAAGACAGGGAAAATTGTCGACAATTACAAACAGACTGAACTTGATTTTAGCGTTCTGTGTTATTTTTCAGAATTAGATACATCTACTCAAGTGTTTCTATTTGTCTATTTTTTTTTTCAGATTTCTACAGGAAAGTTACCATTTTCATCAGTATGTATTATCTTCTGTATTTTCACTCTTTGAATGGAAAAAATGTTTGAGCATTCAAGAGAACAATAAACCGAGCCTGGCCTCGTATTCTCGAAACGATCTTAGTGCTAGGATGTCCTCAATGTTAGGAGATAAAAACCTAGGATATCATAGCGCTAAGATCATTTCGAGAATATGGGGCCCGCTTGCTACAGGCTGTGCTTGTTCAAAATTCTTTAACAGTTGGATGTGGAAGAAGATTTTTCTGGCATAATTTTCCCTCATTGCACACTCATATGCTTGAACTTGACCAGAAAAATAGGACATAAATTCTGTTTAATTTCATTTTCTATTTTTTTTTAGTTAACAGCTAATATGACTGTAAGTGTTTTTTTTTATCATCTTCAAGTTGAATCTTGTTTTTTTAATTTCTGAGAGTCTACATATCTAATAATGTTCTTTTGCTCTTATTATTTATGTTGGCCTGAGGCTGGTGGATAAGTTTTCCTCTGGGCTCTTTCTCTGCCTTATGCTGTATACTTTTGATTAAAAATCTTGAGTTTCTCTACCCTGTGAGAGTTCTCATGCTTCGACTTCTAAAACACCTGTCACAAGTCTGCAGCTGAGTTTAACCATGCAGAATGTCTGTCAGAGAGCTCAGGTTTTGAGTAATGGAGTCCTGAACTTTATTCCGTCATGGAGAAATTTAGAATTTAGACAGACAAAGACCTATTCAGTAGCCAGGTTAAATTATAATATATTTTTATTATTTTAATTTCAGCCATTTGAGTTGATGGATTGTATTATAATGCAGGTAGGAAAGAGATATTTGTTAAACAGTAAAACATGAAGAGCGTTTAGTTAACAAACTAAGACATCTTTAATCTTACCAGATCTGACAAGTGGAATGGCCTTCTTTATATCTAATTATTATTGAACGAGCATCTACGTGCATCATTTACATGACAAAAACTGCAAACAAAAGCTTTTTATTTCCCCTATAGCACCTAAATCTCATTTCAGAATCCCCAGAGTTTACCATCTGACAAATTTTCACCTGATTTTGTCCATTTTGTTAATTTATGGTAAGTAAAACTTCGCGTAATTCTATATCCTATAGACCTGTTAAACTACGCCAGATTATGGACAGTGTTGTAACTGTGTAAGTGCATTATTTATAATCTGTCACCACTGAGACTATTTATAGCTCTGTGTCTGTGACCCACTGAGACAATGTCTTTCACCAGATACTGGCAAATACCCCAAATTTTGTTGATCTTGGGACATGACCCAAAAGATTATAATATTGCCTGGAAAAAGGCGTCATTGATTGAAATCTTATAAGATTTTCTACATTTTTTCAGTCTACAGAAGAATCTACGTCAGAGGATTTCTGTGGATAGATTATTGGTAGGTTATCGACGTGATTTCTTATCTAAAATAACACGAGAGAGAAACACCTCGAAACATTGCATAAAAACTTTAAGGAGTGATTGTTGATCCATAAAACTGGGTCTATATACAATTTAAATCTGTTTTAATAAAAAATTGTCAGGTCTCTGTAGCAGATGTTTATGGTTGAAGATATTGAACTCGGAGCTCTCAGTAATTTTTCTGGTTGATTTATATGTTATATCATTTTTCTGTTTTAGACTCACCCATTTGTGAAGAGAAATGAAGATGGGAATTCTCAGTTAGTGGCGGAATACGTGAAACAGACATTATCTCAGCGAGCGGTCAAATCGTAGCGGTGTGAACGTTTGACCTCTGGTTCTTAAAACAGTTGGTGTGAATAGAAGGATACAATAAACAGTGTTATATGATATATATGGAATCAAATCACAGGGCTATAAACTCATTAAATCACTATATATTAGGGCATAGTATTCATTATTCATAAGCCTAATAAGGTTCTGAAAAGAGCAGTATAATGTCATTGGTCATGAACTTTGGCCTTGCCTTATTAGGGCAGACATACATTTAAGAGATGTCATGTTACCAGCTGTGGCTAAGACAACAAACTCATATGCAAGCATTATTTTCTCAAAAGCCAAAATTTGAAAGTTCTGCTGGTTTAGAACTTGAGCTTTTAACATAATCATTAGATTTTATGAATATTATATTATATTTAGATCTATTGTGCTATTCTAGGACTATTCTAGTTAAAAGTGGAGCACAGATAAACGTGCACATGAGGGAGCAATTTTAAAAAAGGTATTTGAAAAGTCCACTTTATATGTAGGTAGGTAATAAACAATAACAAAAAAATCTCATTGTTAAAATAGTTTTTCAATACATCAGTAATATAGAAAGATTAAAACAGAACCTGAAACATGTTGCCTAATCTAGGTAGACTATATAGAGAAGTCTGTCTTGTATAGTTTCTAATATTATGTATTCTACCACAAAATAAAGTGAACTGTTTGTGTTTTTGTTTTGGCTCAGAGCTGAATATGAACAAGTATCTAACTTGACTAGAATAGTGAGTACAGGTGGTGATTTTATTTTAAGCTTTAAGCTACAAGTATATTAATGGAAGAATTGTAAATAAAGTTTATTTATCTAGAATGGCAGTGGCATAATTAGGGGGTGGTCATGGTAGCCCCTCCCCCATCAGACCTGTGAAACGTCTTATTTTGAAGTGAAAATTAGGCCTCCTAAGTGCTCAAAATTCATCTCAGGCTATCTGAAATCTACTGGCTTCTGAAGACCTACTGTCTCCCCAAATCCTCCCAAATAAGTTGCTTTGCTAAGATATTTTCAATATTAAAGTGATAAGGCTATCTATTATGGAGAAAATAATTTAACTGTGGTCTTAGCGTTATGAATGAGAAGGAGAAATCATTGTTTATTAAACACCCGAATAATAATTTACACAATAATGTTTTGAATTATGAATATCAAGTAGAATATAGATTTCTATAAATCAACGAAATCAAAAGAATTAATCATGAAAAAATCATTTTAAAAAAAAATGTCGGAAATTGAATTATTGAAAATTATTAACAAAATTTCTCCCTTGACGATCGACCTTTGACCGACACGATTTAGCCGATTAGGTAGGCAAGATTTCAACCACCTTTTTCCAATATTTAGTTTATGTAAGCGGTTTGATTGCAGTTGTACTTGAGTGGAATTCATCAGGTACAGTGAGGCCATCATTTTAGAATATTGTTACACGAATCGCAAACGAAATAGCCATTGATAAACCAAATGTACGATTCACGTCTGCAGATTTTATGGAGAGCCATCTTCTACAAAATGTCACTCTTTACTTTTAAATGTTGCTGAATTGAATTTTGTAGATCAAAATTGAAGTTTCTGCTTTTGTATTAGAATTCCATAGGATTAATGAATTAATAGAAATACATTCCCCTTTGAGAAATGGTTACATTGCTTGCTTGTCAACCTTGAAGTGTGGATATTTCCAACCAGGTTACATAATTGTGGAAAGGATGTTAGCACTAATGACTAGGAATAAGATACCCTAGAGACACTGGTAGAACACATCCTAGGACTTCCTACTAGCTCTAAGATCGTTTTGAGAAGGTTTTCCTGTCACAGATGAAAGTTGCTGTCATCATGATAGAGTATCTAGTTGTTTGGCTCAGCAAAATTCCCCATATTGAACACTGGATGTTTAATTGCGTGTTTTTCTAAGGTTGTGCCCACTTATGCCATCTGTGATCTGACAATATTGTTATGTATCTTGTTCATTTAGTATTGAATCAATCAAATGCCCTGTTCAATTGAAGATTTATTTATTGTATGTGAGGAATTTTGAGATATTCATCAGTTTACATCATCCAACTTCTTTTACTAACAGTGTTTTTGATATACCATGATAACTTATGACAACTTGTGATGCTATTGGGCAAATTGTGACTGAATATTTAAAGAAGAATATCATAAGATCAGTATTTATTGTAGGCAGCCTGCAGATAAAACATGAAACATCTCCAGACCTGCATGACAATCAGATAGAATCAGTGACCAGAAAATCACCTGTTGCGAGTTTGAATGTTGATATGTTAATCAATGAAGCTTGAAATATATTCTGTACACTATACATACAGACTCTCACATTCTTCACAATGTCAAGCTGTTACAAACTCTGTCTAATACCTTGACATCATTAGGCACTTGACAGATGTTTGAGGGGTTAATACCTATTAGATGGTATGTGTAAAAGCTTGACTGATGTATTGAGTAAGATCCCCTCAGTTGGTTAATAAAATCGTCCTATTCTGCATGCATCAGTACAAATGATAAATAACTAACTGTACAGGTCTCCATTTCATCTTATTTTGTTGGAAGAAATTTTTTTTTTGACATCTCTTTCAGTGAGTCTACATATCTAATAAGTGTGTTTGCTACTCTGTATTTAGGTTTCATTTCATATTTTTATAGACTTACTAAGTATTATTTGGTTAGCACCAATTTAAATTTTCAGTCAAGCCTTTGTGGGTCATGTAATTCTACTAAATTTAAGTGCGGTCACCATTGGTAACCATCACCATCATCACCATTACAATTGGAATGATGTAAATATAAGCCATAAATACATAAAAAGTTCTTTATAACAACTTAAATATAATAATGATATTGATTTTTGATAACTGATAAGCTCAATATTGTGAGAAAATATTTTTTTTTGTCTGATAAGCTGATATTGTTCAATGTTTGACTGATTGTGTTTATATTTCAGGGGAGAGTGGTCTAGTTACCCCTGACAATGAAAAAGGAGAAGATATTATATGGAGTAGCGGGGGTGACAGGGGCTGCCATAGCAACATGGCGGACAAAGTTTCCATGGATTGGAGATGATTTGAAAATAATTCGCTGTGGGATGAAAATCTTCAAAAAACAAAATCCAGATATTGAACAGGGGCTGAATCTGATTGATAAATTTGAAATGAGCGTTAGCAGAAGCCCGGAGAAGACCTGTTTAATTTATGAAGACTGTTTATACTCGTATAGAATGGTGGATGAATATGCAAATAAGGTAGCGAACCTTGCGAAGTCTCTAGGATTAAAATTTGGAGATACTGTTTCCTTATACTGTACCAATTCACCTCAGTTTATTTGGACATTTTTAGGTTAGTTGATCTATATAACCTGCTTTATTTTGATGATATTGAATTTTTTTTTTTATTTGTTTATCTTTATATTAGTATGATATTTAGATGATCAATATTCAGTTAATCTCATTTCACCTCGGGATTTTTCAGCAAGATTGCTACATGTATTTCAAGACAGACTATTTAGTGCAATTGATAACCCAGCAATTTCAAATCAGGTGTCCTGATGAAGGGTTTAATACCCTTAACATTTGTTGATAGCAAATTAGCTCTTATCAAGTAGATGTAGGTCAAGTTCTTATTTTATTCACTTTATGTGAGTTTCGTTATATCATTAGTTTTCAATGTAATATTATGTAAGCTTATTTCCCTATCAACTGTCCGACCTGAAGCAGAGGCCATGACATCATAATGTTTCTTTCTGTGGAAGATTCAAACCCAAGGCACTTCATCACCAAGCAAATGATGAGTCTTATGTCTTTAATGAATCAGACCTCTCTAATTGTAGGATTTTTAAAGTTGGGAATAACTGTCGCTATGATAAATACTAGTCTACATTCCAAATCTCTGTCCCATTCTGTCGTGTCCAGTGAATCCTTGGCTATTATTGTCGGAGAGGGTAGGTACATTATTTCATTATTATTATTGTTCAGAGAAACCAGACCCATGTAATCCAAACTGCAAATCATCAAGTCTCTAAAAGAGAAAACTGACATGTACCTTAATGAATCAAAATTTGCACCATTTATTTCAATTTTCCAGCCAACCTGATAAGGGCCTTTACAATAGTCACATCGTAAAATGCTCAGTTTTAGTGAAATATGAAGAACCACAGATGTCTGATTTAAAATTAGAATGGTACGAATCAGTGCTATCTGTCTCCCTAATATTGAAAAAAGTTTATAAAACCTCTTTACAATCTCTATAATAGAACGATGTGTTACTTTATTTTAAACCATTTTAGCATTTAGCTCATTATGTATTTTGTTTATTTAAACTGTTGTTAAATTTCTGTTATCTAACAGGTGAGGCATTATTAAAGAATGTGATAGAGGCCCATCAAGATATGCCAAACGTAAAGGTTTACATCCAGGGTCTTCCCTCCTCTCAACTACCATCGGATTTTATATCTTTTGACGATCTAATGTTGAGGGCGCTACCTGTCCCTGTAGATCGTAGTGTACGACGTGATATCAAACCATTCGATACGTGTTGCTTTATTTACACATCTGGAACAACAGGTATGTCAAAAAAATTATCCCCCTCACACTGTGTATTTTCATCCCTGATCTTCACAATGGTCAAGATATTACATCTACGTCTTATACCATGACTACGTAGACCACTTTCTTGTTTTATGCTCAGTGATTTGATAATATTGTACAAATTGTTAAGAGTTAAGTTTTTATATCCCACACATTTACCAAGTTATGTTTTCGTCCCTGAGTAGTGAGGATAACTGAGTTGACATATTATACCCTGAAGACTTACTGTGTGGCACTTTTGTCCCTGCACTGTTGAAATATGTTTGATTTCTTTGTTTTAAACTTTAATCTAATGATATATTTTTTTTCCATTGTTCAATGAATGATCAATCTTATTAATTTTTATACGCCCACATGAATATGTGGTCGTATATTGTCGTCGCCCCTGTCCGTCGGTCCGTCCGTCAACATTTCTTGTGAGCGCTATAGAGACTACAGTTTTTATCTGATTTTGATGAAACTTGGTGTGATGCTTTAGATTGATAAGATCGAATTTGACATATTTTCGATGAACGGTTTTTGAGTTATTGCCCTTGACTTTGTTAAAACGCGTCAAAATTTGTTAAAAATAGTTCGTGAGCAGGATTGAAGCTACAGTTTTCAACCGATTCTGATGAAACTTGGTGTGATCATTGGAATTGATAAGATCTCGGATAAGTTCTAACATGGCGCATTTTCGATGAACAGATTTTGAGTTATTGCCCTTGACTTTGTTAAAACGCGTCGAAATTTGTTAAAAATAGTTTGTGAGCAGGATTGAAGCTACAGTTTTCAACCGATTCTGATGAAACTTGGTGTGATCATTGGAATTCATAAGATCTCGAACAAGTTCTAACTTGGCGCATTTTCGATGAACAGTTTTTGAGTTATTGCCCTTGACTTTGTTAAAAAGTGTTGAAATTTGTTAAAAATAGTTTGTGAGCCGGATTGAAGCTACAGTTTTCAACGGATTCTTATGAAACTTGGTTTTAATTTGACGCATTTTTGATGAACGGTTTTTGAGTTATTGCCCTTGACTTTGTTAAAGCGTGTTGAAATTTGTTAAAAATAGTTTGTGAGCAGGATTGACGCTACAGTTTTCAACTGATTCTGATGAAACTTGGTGTGATCATTGGAATTGATAAGATCTCGGACAAGTTCTAATTTGATGCATTTTCAATGAACAGTTTTTGAGTTATTGCCCTTGACTTTGTAAAATCGCGTTAAAATTTGTGAGTACAATAGAAGCTACAGTTTTCAACCGATTCTGATGAAACTTGGTGTGATCATTGGAATTGATAAGATCTCGGACAAGTTCTAACAAGAGATATTTTTTTGATGAACATTTTTTGAGTTATTGCCCTTGACTTTGTAAACACGGGTAGAAAGTTGTTTTTTGCCCTTGATTGGAGCTGTGTGATATAATTGTTTGTTATATTTGGGTTATTGATATTGATTTTAAAAAATTTTGTGGAATTATTCAGCATGAATAATTTCTTCAATATGAGAAAATTCGTACTTTAGTCACTAAAGACAGCTGCCAGTGGGCATATGTTACCTTGCAACGCAAGCTATCTTAAGTTTTTAGTAAAGCCTACTGAAAAATAATTTTTGCTGATTTTTAGGTTATCCTAAGCCAGTACATATACAACACTTTAAGGTCTATGCTTTTTGTAATGTCCTCTATGCGTTTTCTATCACCCCAGAGGACATTCTGTATAACACACTGCCTCTGTTCCATAGTGCTGGAATGTATAACCTGTGTAGTGGGCTGAACGTAGGTAAATAGAAGCCAGGGAAAGTATCTGCAGGTGCTTGCTGAATTCTGCATCTGAGGTGTTGATTTGATAATCATCTGATAATCATCTGATAATCATCTGATAATCATCTGATAGATATATAAAGTGTTACAATTGTCTTAATCTTCATTGTTACATAGAATTCCTAGAATTAGGAAGTATAACTTCATAAATATACCCTGAATTCTAAGTTAAATGATAACGAATATATTACTTAAAAATATTGAAGATTTGGTTTGAATTTCTTCTGTCATATAAATCATGAAATATCTACTGCAAATCAGATTCAAATCAATACCTCTTGCTTGCTGCTTACTGCTTCACTATCTGTAATTTACCAAAATAGGACTGAAGGTATGGAAAAATAAAGGAGCACCTGCTCATACAGGCAGCGTTTCATTTCATTAGCCGAATAAGGTCGCAGCATTAAGATGTTAAACTTCATTTCATTTCATATGTCAATAATTGTAGGTCTACCCAAGCCAGTGTATATACAACAGATTAAAGCCCATGCTATCGGTAACACGCATTTTGCTCTGGAACTAAGTGACAAGGATACATTATATGTTGTATTGCCGCTGTTCCATTCAGCAGCTTGTATGAGTCTATGGAGTGGGTTGAACGCAGGTTTGTTGATTAATTAGAATAGTCCATAATACTAACTGTTAAGATAGGTTCCTGTATTATCATTTATTAATACATACTGTTATTTTAAAACTTGATATGAAAACACTTTGCATTCAGATTTACAACTTGGTTGAATGTGTTTCTCAAAATTTCTAATCCACTACAGCTCAACTCATGCTGCGGACATGTGTTTCGGATTATAAATCTAGTTCCTACTTGTAGAGATAAAAGTCAACTTTCCATTGTACATTCATGGGATTTGAGGTAAATAAGAAAAGTAAGGAACTCTCTGAACAGGAGCAAAAATTGAATAGAGCTAAAGAATATTGAGAATTAATAATGAAAGTTTAAACGCTGAGACTTACACAAGAACTTGAGTGATTGTACAAATTTATTCCACTTCTATACCACAAATAATCTGTTAAATATTTGTCTTGCTTTAGCTCTGCTGCTTTTCTCGATCTTTAAGCTTGCTATGATATTTATCATATTATCAACCAAAGTTTTATTATTATTTTAACTTAATTAGATTAGAATTGACAACCTCATTTACAAATGAATTACAAAGTTAAAGTCACACTTGAATTTTAAATTTTATTATAAAATTAAATTATTACCTAGTCAAAAGTTCATGTCAAAATTTCGTTACAATATTTGACGTAATGACAGTTCTGTATTCAGAAGTTTGATCTTACTTTTAAAAGGTTGTACGATTGTTTTGAAGAAGAAGTTTTCAGCCCATGAATTCTGGGAAGATGTGGTACGCTATAATGTGACGATATTTCAGTATATCGGAGAGCTGTGTCGTTATTTATTGTCACAGCCACCAGTAAGTATTATCAGAGAGACTTATTAACCCAGGCTAAATTTATTATGATCAGCTTTTGCGACAGTGATTTCAGTGGACTTGCAAGACTCACAGACTGAAAATATGAAAGGTGCAAATTGATGTTATCAGTGTCCCAGATACACAAAGAAATTTTAGAAAACATCTTTACAAATTAAAAGTGTTACATTTAGCTATGTAGACTCTCAAAAGTATTTAAATATGATCAACCAATCACTTAATAATTGCAATATTTATTTTACGGTCTCATAAATTTATGATTTTATGTTTTAGAGTCCACTAGATAGCAAACATAAAGTACGAGCTATCATTGGAAACGGTTTACGGAAAGATATCTGGACCAAGTTTCAAACCCGGTTTAAAATCCCATTGATTCTGGAGTTTTTCGCAGCTACCGAGGGAAATACTCTTCTATTTCAACTGTCCAATAAACCTGGCTCTTGTGGAAGATTGTCTCCTTTTATAGTAAGTTATATGTTATAATTTATTTCTTAAAATGTATAAAAGTATTATCAACTTGATCTGAAAAGACAGGCCCATAGTCACATATCTTGATAGTTTTACCATCATGATGACTTTATTACCTATCTATTTTCATTGTGTCATTTGCTAAATGCCATTTGATGAAATTTTTGTATTTACAGCAAAAACTTGAGCCATTTCCTCGTCGACTGGTAAAATATGATTATGACACAGCTGAGCCTCTTCGAGATAAAAATGGTCGCTGTATTCCTATCAAACCCGGTAAGATTGAATTATTTTATTTTGTAACAAGTTGCTTCAGTGAATGAGTCAATGACCTCACTAGATTGTCTGATGCCAATCTGGGACTGAGTTAACTTAGCATCATTTAGAAGAGGCCATGTAACTGATACTGTTTATTTGGTATCTAGGTTTGTCAACTCAGCATCCCTTTCAAAGGTCCATGTAGCTTATATTTTAGTTTAATTGTGTCTAAGTTAACAGTTTCTTTAACCATTGTATTTACAGGTGAAGTTGGTATATTATTAAGTGGTGTCAACCCTTTAACCAAAGATTTACCAATGTACAAGGCATCACGTGCCGAGAATGATAAAAAGATAGTTCGGAATGCCTTCGTGGATGGTGACGAGTATTTTAACTATGGTGATTTGTTATATTTAGATAAAGACTATTTTCTTTATTTTAATGATAGAATTGGAGATACTTTCAGGTATGTTTTTTGTTGACATTCGTTAATAACATTTTTATGCGTGTGCGTTACTTTTTTGGTTACTGGTAGTTCAGCATATCGTTTGTCTATAATTTATGTCAAAAAGCAAGACAGATGAAATAGATTTTGCATCGATTTTATTTCACTCTCGAACCACCTCTTAATTAAGAAACATGGACATTAGCTCATGTATTTCCCAAAGCTAATTAATGCGTTCAGTATTAAAGTTTTCTTGACTAGACATGAAAATGGGATACCTGCAAGTCATGTAAAAAATCATTTAAAATTTCTCAGTTTTCACCCATCTTAATGAGCCCAATGAGGCACTCAATACTGTCGTTTGTGACTAAAATAAGCTAGATAGGGATACCTACAAGTAATTTTTATACTCCATTGTTTATATTATAGATGGAAAGGAGAGAACGTATCAACAACAGAAGTAGCTAATATTTTAACTGATATAGATTTTATACATGATGCTAATGTTTATGGTGTCACTGTTCCAGGTAGGGTGGCTTTCATTCTTCTGATAGTTAGCTACAAATGTTGAACCTCAAATTGGAGCTGCAGTTTCTCAGCGAGTTAAGACGAAAGCCCAGGGCTCAATCCTGCCGTAGGTCGAGATAAAATCTGCCGAAATTCTTCAACCCTGGTGGTCATATCAGACTGGGCCTGTAATCAGTTTAAAGTTATTTGAGATTATAAAACACCATATCATTTTATTTGAATTTAAAATTGCAATTCCTTCAGATCCTCACGTACATTTCTGATTCCCATCCATTCCAGTTATATTTGAATTTGTTTTATTTTAGGACAAGATGGTAGAGCAGGAATGGCAGCAATAACTTTATACAACGATTCAGAATTAACAACAAAACAACTCAAGGTTATTTATGAACATTGTGAAAAGGAGCTTCCACATTATGCTGTGCCAATATTTTTACGTGTATTGAAAGAAGATATTTTAACAGTAACGTATAAACAGAAGAAAAGGGACATTGTTAAAGAGGGTTTTGATCCTCTATCTGTTAGTGATGCATTATATTTTAGAGATTCCAAACGAGCTACTTACATTCCCTTAACTACAGATTTATACCCGGTTATATTAAAATCTAAATTATAAAGTTTTATTTTTGGGGGAATATAGTATTATTAATATTGTTACCAGTTGATAGAACTCAATTTCAGCTTTCTGTATAGTCATCTAAATATTTAATTTACCAGTTAATACAGCTGGATTTCTGTTATCTTTATACAGTTACTGTATCAATAATTTTGAAATTCAATAAAAGATATTGTGCTCTGATAAAATAAATATTAATGAAAGGGAAAGTGCAAGAGTTTGAAAGGTTGTAAAGGAGCGCGATATGTTTTTTGATTTGAGTTAAAATGAGGCTGATCAACTCGTAGTTTTTTTATCTCGTCAAACCACAGATATCATGTAACAGAAACCTCAGTGTGTGTTGTGTGAGTGTCCAGTTTTCAAATAGGTTGTGTGAATGGTTTTATTATCATTTTTATACAAATTTTCTTCTTTTCACAAATTGTGGAGGGTAATTTAATATTTTGATTGAAAAAATCTTCAGATGTTCAAATAAAACAAAAGATTTATGATGTGTGTAAACTAACATTCATACATTCATACCAAGGTGTTAAGATTCTGGCATTATGTATAAATTGGGGAAATATTTGACAAATATTAATGCAATCAGGACAGGCAGCAGATTTTTAGAAAGTTTATCTTTTTATTATGTATTGTTATTATCTGTGTAGTACTGAAATAAGGCTATTAATATTTCTAATCTAAATACAACAAGTTATATTCTTTTAATCAGAGAAAGTTCTAAGCACAATACCTTGTTTCTAGAATAACCCAAAAATATTTCCTTTGAAATTATCAAATTCATCTTTAACGTTGTAGAACTTTTATAAATATAGAGACATATTAAACATCTAAAACATATTCTGTTGGATAATCTTGTTATTTAAAATACAACTGAGATTGTTTTTAACCTATATTTTATCTTTCAAATGGATTTCTTATCATGTTTTTAAATTGCTGATTACTAATAGTTGTTTTATGTTTGATAATTTATTTTGTTCATTATTATACAACTAATAAGATTGATTTGGTACTTCTCTTTGGAGGAGTCCACTACTATAATATTTTTACTCCTGATTTTGCCATGCTTTGGATGAGATTTTGATTAACGGAATTGTCTTTTTATTGTAATGGAATTTCAGATTTTTGTGAAATAGATTTTTTTTATCATTGTTAAAATAGTCATTATGTATTTTAATTTAAAATTTTAACTTTTTAAGTTTATGTTACATGCTTAATTTTTATGATTAGAATTTTTTTAAAGAATGTTTTATATTAAAAATTGATTTTGTGAAATTTTGAATATAACAGTGTATTAAACTTCCTGTCTGAGTTTAAAATACAGGACAGGACAGCAAGGCAGGGTATGCTCAACTTGTTTTTCAAATTGTCAATTGGAGATTCAATATAGCTTATATTTTTTATTTGGTATTTATCTAACTCTTTAATGATATCAATTGTCAACTGTGAAAATTGCCAGTACCCGCTTTTATAGTCTAGAAAGGTAAACTTTATATTATAATGTTGTTTTTCTCGAAGTTATTTATTATAGGTATATTTGTATTCCTCGACACTCTAGATGTTAATATTCAAGCAAGATAATCAATGCAAAACCTTTTAACATTTATAACCCTCACAGTATAAAGCAGCCTGGGGTTTTATGAATTCTCTTTCACCAGTAATAGCATTAAATTTTTTAATGAATTTAATATAAACAACTGACAACAAAGTATTACATAAATAGAACAGAGAAATATATATGTAGAAAAATATCCACTATTTACACTCCTCATTTACACATAAAAAAAAATACTGCGCATTATACTCGCAAATATACAGTACACATACATTAACCATTTGATAATATACAAATCATTTCCCATAGCACCAGACTCAACAACATACTTGACTTCAATATGAAATAATAAAACACTACAAGGATATCTTATACTTTGGATGAATGAAAATCATTTAAATTTCTATTCTATTTTCATTACAGAATATTATGTGCCGTCCTCCAATAGTCTTTACAAGAAAAGAAACAGTAATTCAAATTTAGGTACGTATTTTTTATTGCACCACTTTCAAAACTGCTTATAGCAAGGACAGAAACTATACTGTAGTAGATTGAAAACACCTTGACAGTTACCTTACAGAATCAGATTTTTTCCAAATATAATGAAGCCTCTGGTACATAATATAACCAATACCCATTTTTGCTAACTTCCGGTTTGGTGGTTGGGATCCAACTGTGTATTAAGAATCTTCCCAATGACAAGCTGATTGTGAATTCCGGAAGTGAATTGATTCAGAAAGGAGGCCGTCATTTACACCACAAACAATTTTTATTCATTTTCTACCGATGTTTTCTAACTCTTGTTGATTACTTCCGTAAGTTATGGCTTCTCTAACCGATCAATTACTTGAGATTGTAGGGGAAAATCACCTTGGAACTTCCTACAATGCACAAAACCGAGTACAATTCGAAGTATTTGGCATCCTATCATCCCACATAAAGTTAATAAAGCGTGGATTTTTTTTCGATTGAAACGATATGGAGAACGATAAAGGTTCGTTGACATACTTTATTGCCGATAACAACATGTCCCTCTTACTTCGAGTTCAGTATTTCCAAATATTAGTTATTAAAAAATCATTACTGAACTTTGCAAGTTTATGATTTGCTTTGGTTGACTGAGCACCTGTCATACTCCAGACAAACCGAGTCATCCTGTCGCCTACAATAAAAAGTCTAGTACCATTGTTCTAAATGGGTTTTTGATATAAGGAAATTTCCAGTTAACTTTCAAATATCTATCAGTAATTCCTTGTATCCCAGGGCGTTATACACAATGTCTAAAATTGTTCTTTGAAAACCATGTATCACTCAAACATAAACATTTAGCAACCAAAGAAAATTTCAAGAAAAATTTATTTTTAAATAGGCACATCACGACATGGTTTATAACTTTGATTTGGTCAAGATGGTTGATAAAACAGTCTCTGTAAGAGGTATGTAAGTTTTTAGTGTATCATCTCGAATAAATAGTGGATCTTCCACAACGTTTAGATCATAACCTTCTTTAGCAAGGTCGACCTTTCTTTGTTTAAATGTAGCTGTTAACACTGCCTCTTGTAATATCCGTATAAATAATGGTGTAGCATATCGGGGTAAGTTGTGTTCACAGTGTTGATAAAACGATTGTAAGTGTTCACTGTCTAAATTTGTTAAATCGTTTAAAGTTAAGGCTGCCATCCCTGCCTTCCCATCATGACCTGCAATAGAAAACAGAATCTGTCATTGTATTTCGAAGCATGACAATATTAAAAACAAATCAATGACTAAGCTTCTCCACCCCTTTCCCTTCAATCTCTCTGTCAAACCACTGGTGCAACATCTGCAACACAACATAATATTGTGGTCAAAATAAGTACATACGTCTTAACCTGTAGTCAAAAAACCAGAGTCGAATGCAACTGACTAAGATAACAGATCAAGCAAACAAAGATTGTACCGAATGCGTAAATCTATATTCTCTGTTATTGTCGTCTCCTTTGAATGAACAGAAACATCGGATATCCTACCTGGAACAGTGACACCATAAACATTAGCATCATGTATAAAATCTATATCAGTTAAAATATTAGCTACTTCTGTTGTTGATACGTTCTCTCCTTTCCATCTATAATATAAACAATGGAGTATAAAAATTACTTGTCGGTATCCTTTGTTAAAATCAAGGTTATATGCACACATGAAAAGTTAACATCCTAGTAGTCAATAATTGCACTCAGAAAAACAAAGTTGCAAGTAGAGAAATTCGACTTAATTTCAATATTATCTGCAGGTATCCCGTTTTCATGTCTAATCAGGTAACGTTAACTAATCTGTACATTATTTAGTGTACGACATGAACCAGTTTATCTGCATGATTTTTTGAAGAGTGAGGGGGGGGGAGGGGTCTTAAGAGTCTTATGAAATCAATGCAAAATCCATTTAATTTGTCTGGCTTTCTGACCTTAACTATAGGGTCGCGATATGAAGAGCTACAAGTAACCAAAATGTACGATTTGCAGTTAAGATTTCATATAATGCTCTATAAAAACACCTCTTACGGCTTTAGAATTGTTACCAACAAACCAAAACTTTGTTGATTATGATACCTGCTTAAACTTGTATATGATAAGTTTGATGGTAGTTACTAAATGATCTATGCTAACGTGAGACCTACCTGAAGGTATCCCCAAGTCGATCGTGAAAATACATGAAATAATCTTGATCTAAATAAACTGTATCACCATAATTAAAATAGACGTCACCATCTTCAAAAGCATTCCTGACTATTTTCTTATCATTTGCCTCAACAGAAGCTTTATACAGTGGTTTCACCTGAGCTTCTGGTGGAATTCCAGATATAATTAACCCACTCTCTCCTGTAAATAAAGTGGACAAAGTTTTAAACTCTGAATACTGCGACAGTTCTCTTGATTGTGGACGTTAGCTCATATAGAAGGACTGTGGACTACAGTGAATTGCCTGAGGATCGTATGAACATGTGACATTAACTAGCTACTTACAAATCTTTGAATGAGGTAGTTTTGCGTCCTACTGTTGTGTAGGATGTTGGAGATTGATCTGTAATCAATGAAAAAACAACCCACCTGCCTTAATGTCAATACATCGACCATTTTGATCTCTAATTGGTTGAGCTGTTTCATAATCACATTTTACAATACGGGACATATTACCTGGTAATCTTTTCTGAAATACAGGTCAATCATCTGATAATATCAACTGGTTACAATAACCTAATAACTGATAATAATATATATCGAGTTATTATTAGCTAAGACAGTGGACTGTGTGAAAGGTATACCGAACTGATAGACTGAATTATAAATTGAAGGCTATAAGCTATGTGGACTTTATCACAGTACAAGTCGTAAGTTTAAGGTTTCCAATTAAACGCATCATTCGATGTCAATATGATAATATATAAGTACATTTGAATTTATTGACAATGATTGTGTACTTACCAAAAAGGGTGAAAGTCGACCAATAGCCCCGGGTTTATTTGATAACTGACAATTGAACCCAGTCCCTTCAGTCGCTCCAAAGAATTCAACTATCAACGGTATTCTGAATCTAGCTTGGAATTTCTCCCAGATATCTTTTCTTAAACCATTTCCAAAGATTGCTTTTATTTTATGTTGAGTTTCCAAAGGATCCTGAAATTCAGATCATGGTAAATGATATTCTCTACTTTCATGATTCACTCCAGATAACGAAAATCTTAAAGTTAAATCTGGCTCCATCGTTGTTTGTAAGCCAAAGGTATTGGCGCAACTAAGGAGGTGTGAAGTACAGGCGTCGGAAGATGAAGCCGTGTTTAGGGCTGGTACGGTATGATGGTACGGAACGAACGATTAATGGTCGCCGATGACGATTAAGCAGTACACCAAGCTGCAAAAAGATGACCATTGAATGGATCTGTTGCCAGTGATGTCGACTAATTTTAGAGAAAAAACACCAATAACCTTTGGCTGTGAGAGTAAATATCTACAAAGTTCACCAATATACTGAAACATCGTCACATCAAACAGTTTGATATCCTTCCAAAAACTTCTTAACGAAAACTTCTTTTTTAATACTATAGTAGTTCCTGGAAACAATGGAAGAAGAAAAGTGATAAGAGCTCTCTCGGCCGATGAATCAAAGACGACGATATACATTTAAGCTGGTCGTCGATTTTATTGTGATCAGTACCTATCGTAATAACAGAACAACAAATCAACGTACCTAAGTCTATGGATCCCAACCAGCTCAGCTGACCCGAGGAATGGTATAGAGGTAGAAATAAATACACAATATCTTTAGAATTTCCACCAAAAAATGATAATAATTTACTGATCTTTATAGCTTTATGTTGCAGGATGATACAAGGTTTCGGTAAACCTAAAAATAATGATTAAAGATGAATTAAACAATGGTAAATTACTTCAGACTTGATATACGGATTGGATCACAGGTACGAAGAACGGAAAGGGCCAGATTTGTTGGACGAGGGAATTTAGATCTTTTGCATTATCAACAAGGGGAGATCGGCGGTCTCATATTGATCATTCACCAATTTAATGAAATGGTTTACCTGTTGTCCCAGATGTGTAGACGTAACAAAACGTAGACATGACCGTAACGTTAGAACGGACGTGTTTGTGTATAGGTGTAGGTAGGGCACGTAGCATCAAATCATCGAATGAAACCAATCCGTCTGGTAAAGATGATTGAAGTGAACCCTGGCTATAAATCTCGTAGTGGTTTAACTCTGGAAGACTCTCCTGTATCACTTCCAGCAGACCCGTATCTAGGATAGAAGAAAAGGGTTTAGTCGTATATGAATTTAAGAGTTAAATTGTTCGGTATCTATAGAGGATTTTCTCAGAAAGGATTACCATTGCCGAGAGACAAACCAATCAATGACATCAGGTATTCTGGGAGGGTATTCATGACATATGCAGTGTGTAATGGGTAAACTAAGATAACTTACCGGCACCGACTATAAGATATTTGGACTCGCTCAGATTAATAGAATGAACGAGAGCTTTACCATGTAAATTACAGTTAATTAAAGCGGCTGTCACTCCGAGTTTAGCTACCCCTGGAATTTAATAATTTAATAAACCATTGTAATGATTGTACGTCTATACCAGCAAAGCCAGTTCGGCAACTCTTGGTGGTTTCCATAAAGCTGTTGAGTTGAGTTTTAAAAACTTTGAAACATTATGAACGAATCATATTTGGGATGTTAGGTTTCAACCTTATTGAGAGCTGTAAACTAGTCAAATCTACTGCCATAAACGACTTGAGATAGAGAGTAGAATCTCTAAAACAGTGGTTCTCAGTCTTGTTCAGCCTTCACACCCCTGGAGCAATCACCTGGACCTTCCACACCCCCAAAAATGTGTTTTATCCACATTTTCAGCATGTGTTGATGTGAGATGCTCTCTCAGTTCAAAATAAATTCTTCTCCTACACCAGTTGGCCACACCCCTGACACCCCTAGGGGGGTGAAAGCACCCCAAGTTGGGAACCGGGGCTCCCTAGTGGAAAACGGTATTGTGCCTTTTCAATGCCCACCTGAAACTTCTGTCGCTGCAAATAGCTTTCAGTGTCTTTGATTAATGTGAAAAGTTGAATTTCCAAACTTACCCAACATTGTCCAGATGTATTCCGGAGAATTCGGAAAAAATAAAGCCACAGAATCTCCCTCAGACAATCCCCACTGTCGGACGATCCGAGCAACTTTGTTCGCTTGCTGATCTACGAATTCGTACGTGAAAACATTGCCTTCGTATATAATAAACGGTTTCTGGGGGTGAATCTTTACTTTGTGCTCAAATTTGTCAATTATCAAGTATCCATTTTCCACGGCCTTTTCTGCTGCCCTTTTGACTGGACCACCGGCTCTCAGTATCTTCAAATCTTCTCCCAGCCAGGGGAACATTGTTTTCCACGCCACCCATCCAGCCCCCGTCGCCCCACCCAGTGCATACAGTAGGTTCTCCCACATCGGAAACGTTTCTCGAATCTGAAGAAGACATTGATAAAAGGTGTGCAGTAGAAACTGTACAGTATTATTCATATACTCCAGTAGTCAAGAAAACATTGTCAAGTGATATTTATATATATTCAGCTAATAAAACTGTCAGTAACTCGTGTCGTCTGACACAGAAAATAACAAATATAACCGATGGTGCATCGTGACAGTATACAGTAATACGTCACCGTTTTTTAATTTGTATTGAAAAAACTTTAGAGCGTGCAAATTCAGAATGTTATTTTTATAGAACGACGAACTATAACGAAATTTAAATATATGGCAAATAGACAACCATAGTAGGCTATAATTACTGATGGATGATATATAATAGATTTATTTTGACTTTTAAAGAACGACAACGAAAATTATTACAAAATCGCTATAGCTATCGTTTTGATTGGTACAATCGGGCAAATCAGAAAAAACCTTGACTATGTTTTGATTGGGACAATGGGGCAAATCGGGCAAACTTTGACTATGTTTTGTTTGATAAGAATACAAGCTGTAGTATAAGAAAGTAGATCAGTATGTTAAACCAACAGTAAAGATATATTTATATCTATCAGGTGGACAAAACACGAGGTCATTGGAACAGTACTAGAGTCTAAAGTTGCTGACTAATAGGGCCTACTGCCTCTGATATATGTTCTAGAACATTGTTATTGTTCCGTATGATTGTCGGTATAGGAGGGGTTTATTGTAGTAAGGAATTCCTGTTACACATTATTGCACATGACTTATTCAAGGTCACCGCCAGACTTCCACCCACTGACTAAGAATAGGACCAGCGACAACCATTTCTTTGACTTTACCGAGAATTACGCCATGTTGATATTCCAATGAACTAACCGATGATGCTAGAGTCCGAAGATGATGTATCACTTTAATAAAGTTATATTATCACCCAATTATCACCCAATTATCTGGTCGGCTGGTAAGAGAAACTATCTATACTCTATCACCACTGTGGTTTAATAATCGCACTTTGTCAACCATGTTTGTACGAATTGAAACCATGAACTCCTCAGAACTACTGACAACCTTAGATTTTCTTCGGGTTCATGAAAATGCCAACCAACCACTAAATAAATCGTTATTTAGAAGTATGAATTTAGGGAGGGATGTATTTGTTGTTAATATCACAAACGTCACTATTGCTATTAAACTGTGTTCAGTGTATTTCGCTTTGTTACACTGGAGCACTATCCTCTTTCTTGTTATGTCACACTCACTGTCAATTCATAAGAGCTCATCCCATACTGCAGACGCATGTTTCAGATATGCAATCATCATCAAGACCGTCTTAAATGGAGTTAATTTTCCTGCATTAGATTTAAGACTCAGTCTATAAATTAAGTAAGCGAGCCCACTGAACATTCAAGTAGTTATCCATTTTAAAATTTGTAATTTGTGATCTGAAAGGAGTAAATACAAATTTAAAGAAAAACAGACGTACCTTTTAAAATAATATATAATATAAGACCGTATATCAACTAAAGACTTGTGTTATTATAATATATGACGGTCAGGGTCAGAGTCTACCCTGATAACGACATATTTTTAATTCAGTGTAGAGACCTTAAAGGGAATCTAAATTGAATCGTTTGTTTAGAAATTTTCAGGGGTTCTAGTCCTCTAAATGTTTCCTTAACCAACTGATAAAATTCTATTTTCCATGTTATGTAACAAATCATGTGAATTTACGATTGAAAATTCAGTTTTTTTTCTCATATTTGTGTACTTGTGCATTTTTCTATTGTTTGCGTTCATTCGCGCTCATCTGTGCATTTTAGTCACACCGTTATGAAATGTTGGTTGTCTGAAACCTAAAGCTTTTTAACCTCCCAATTGAAGAGTTCTTTTATCTCAATTTGAATAAAACAAAAATGTCAAATAAAATGAATTTTTCAATATTCTGTAAATGTACCTGAATTTTTGTGAATTCAGAGAACGGACTTCTTGCAGTATTTATTGCCCTCGAAACGAATCGCGTTGGGCAGAGTTGTTACTCACAAAATGGTGTGTAAATCAATGTTTTCTTTAGCATTTGTCTAGACTTGTACACAGTCGGCACAGCTGTTAGTGCTGTCTTGATAAAATTTCCGTCATTGCACACTGTCTGCCTTCACTGGTCCAATTAGGTGCAGAAGGGTCCGCGTAAAACTCCATTCATGTAATTTTTTCCTGCATTTGTCATCTTGTTTTTTTAATGATAATCATCACTATAACATGATGGCCTTTTACTGTGGAGTGTTGCCAAGGCTAGTCATTTGTAATCAGATCAAACCTATAGAGCATGATCTTCTTGTACTGTACAGGATGTTGACAATGTTTGACCTATATCATCCTTATATCTTCATCCCACCTTCTTAAAATTGCCATTTTGAATTATTTCTTTCAATTTACATTCCAATTAGGCGTAAGGTAGGAATGAGAGTTCTGGTACTGGCTTTGAGTGTCCTTATTGATTGTTAAAAATTGTTTTCCCTTTGGTTTTAGGAATAAATTGTTTTTCCTTTTATGGCCTTTGCCTACTTAAAACAAAATATAGAGCGATTTACTTTTGTTTGGTAGAAGTAGCCTAAAAGCAGACAAATTAGTGTCGGATTGACAGACATTACAAATACCCAGTGCAGAATCTAATTTTCTCATCCTCATGAGTCTAAATAGATTATAGATAGATAGTTATATAGATATGTATTTTAGTAAGGGCAAGGAGACCTGATTTATGAAATCAAAATCTAATTTCAATTTTAGAATCAGCAGCAGAAGACAATGAATAAATATTTGAACCAGAAGTCCGTCAGTAACCATGGTGATAGTTTCAATATGGCTGACAGTGATGATGATATAGAAATAATAAAAGTCGATAAACCAAAAAAGGTAACAGAATTAATCTGTGTCGACTTATTGAAAGATATTGGCCTTAGTTCTTTGATTTTAATCCCACTTGAATATTGTCTTGAGAAATCTTGACAAAGTGCAGCCTACAATCTCCTGATTTTGGCATGAAAAATGAGAATTTGCAAACAGAAGATGTTGATGTTCTTAGTAGGCCCTACTTATATAAAGGCAAGCCAGACTCTTGTTCATATCAGTTTTTTATAAAAAAAAAAAGTTTCACATCAGACGTCTGGCATTTTCCATCTCTTTCAGACTCCTATGAAATGGGTGACGTCAACTTTTGACGATTTTAGTTCAGACTTTATGTCTTCTCAACCGAAATCTCAGAAGTCTTTCACATCCAGTCAAAATAAAAGCAAGACTCAATCATCCAGTCAGAATGTTAGTAATACCCAGCCTAGTCTTTCACAACCAGCCAACAGCAGAAAACGTCCAAGAGAAACTAAGAACAGTCTGAAGCAGATTGCTTCCGGTCGTCAGAGGTCAAAGTTCAAATCTACTATGGAATTATGGGCAGACATTCATCAACCAAAAACAAAGGTGAATGTAAATTTCTTTTGCTTTAGGCATAAAAGAGTGCTCTTCAATTTGAAAGTTTGCTTTTTAAATAACGTTTTGTCTGCATTGATACAAATTGGGCAAAATCATGGTTCTAAAGCAAAATTTACTAGATCTTAACCTTAATGCTTTCTTTTTAATGGCATCAATATTCTCCAAGTCTGGCAAAGTTAGTATCCACAAATTTATAGAGGTTTAATGTATTCAAAAACTTAAAGTAAAGTCTGCAAAAGTTTTCATATTGAACATCATTCTTCATTTTCTTTTTTTCAGGCAGATTTGGCTGTACATAAAAAGAAAATAGAAGAAGTAGAGAACTGGATAATTCAGTCTATCAGTAATAATAAGGTAAGATTATCCAGTGTATCTCTATTTGTAGAAGGCTATTCTTGTCTTATATACTATATAATTGTGAACATAATGCACATCCTTTTAACCCTGAGGTAAAACTTCATTTATTCTCAATTTTTGAGTGATTATCATCGGGAGTCATATTAATCTTTGTAAGAAAGGTATATATCTTGTGTTTTTAATTCATATTATGTAATTGTTAAGTGTTACAGATAAGTAAACTTAAACTCTGTATTAATTTAGTCAAATTCTCTCTATGGTTTTATTCGGATTATTTTTTGTTTTTCTGTTACAGATGGGTAAAATGTTATTAATGACTGGTCCAGCTGGAGCGGGTAAAACAGCCACAGTGAAAGTATTAAGTGAAGAGTTGAACCTGGAGTTACAAGAATGGTCGAATCCAGACCAGAATTCTAATCAACAATTTACTCTCAGTTCTCAAGATTACTGGGGTCAGTTTTTATCTAATTGTCACCCTACAAACCCGTGGGGACTGTTTCACAAACTTTTAACTCAGATAAGATCCAGGCTGCATATTCTCGAAACGATCTTAGTGTTAGGATGTCCTAGGGCACTGACAATTCTTTCATTATGTAAAATGATAAAAATTTGAAAGTGGGGCCAGTCTGTTTTCTTGGCCCCTGAAATGGTTTCTTTTGCAAACACTACTGAGTCTGTAATTTATAATGGAATGATTCACACACCGAAAATTTCTGAATTTTTAAATTGAGAATTGAGACATTTCCCTGTCTATTTCAGAACAGTCTCGTGTAGATATTATAACCTCTGGTTCACAACAATCACAGTTTGAGAATTTCTTACTTCGAGCCAATAAATACCAATCACTACAGATAGAGGAAGGTTCAGGGGGAGGGAAAACTATCAGCCATACTGCTGGAAAACTTATTTTATTAGAGGTAACGGTTTTTAGTCTTTATTTCAATCATAAATTATTACAACATACATAGACACAATCATTACCAGAGCAAGTTAATGTCATGGATTTAACTTCTCTAAAAGGGAAGAATAACTACCTATTAGTAGGGTAGGTACTCAGGTTCTGATCATGATGGTCATCAGTATCACATGACCAAATTTATTTACCCTTTCTTAATGAAATGATAATATTATTAATTATATTTCAGTTTTCTGTGATAATGCCTCACGTGATTCCTTTGTTTTGTTTTCAGGAATTCCCAAATATTTATTTACGAGATAATGTGTTATTTCATCAATTATTACGGTAAGTTATAGTTTCAGCTCCAAAAACTCTATTAGTTTCACTATTAAAAGTACTGTGGAGGCACGTTATAATACTGAGGTAGGACAACTCCTCCAGAATACCTGATGTCATTCTGCTTCAGGCTTTATCAACTTGACATACCATTCATACAATTCATATAGCATGTGTTGTTTATTTGGTATTTTTATAATCAGATTCCACTGGTCCTAGGTTTATTATTAAAATCTTTATTTTATTTTAGACGATATTATAAAGTAGGTCATTCACCGTTGATATTTATAGTCAGTGATTCTAGTCGTGGAGAATCCAAAGAAAGACAACTCTTCCCTCCTGATTTACAACAAGAACTTTATATTCACAATATCAGGTTTGTATTAACTCAGTATCAATAATAGTATTATATTTTAATTTACTATGACAGAGTATGTAATTATAACATATTTTTACCATGTTTCACTTGAGTAGGTAAACCTATGGTAATAGATATTCCAATACAAATTGTTTTGCAATATAAACACGCGCAAGAATCTGTTGAATTATATAGGATGTAAAACTCCATTCATTTCATTTATCCTCTGTTTTGTAGTTTTAACCCTGTAGCACCAACTATGATGGTGAAAGTTTTAAATAAAATAGTTTCACAACAGAGTTCACAGGTCAGGTTCTTAGCTTTATCTACACTTAGCTTTATTTACACCTAGCTTTATTTACATCTAGCTTTATTTACACCTAGCTTTATCTACACCTAGCTTTATTTACACCTAGCTTTATCTACACTTAGGTTTAATTACACCTAGCTTTATCTACACCTAGCTTTATTTACACCTAGCTTTATCTACACCTAGCTTTATTTACACCTAGCTTTATCTACACTTAGCTTTATTAACACCTAGCTTTATCTACACTTAGCTTTATTTACACCTAGCTTTATTTACATCTAGCTTTATTTACACCTAGCTTTATCTACACCTAGCTTTATCTACACCTAGCTTTATCTACACCTAGCTTTATCTACACCTGTTTTATTTAAACCTAACTTTATTTACACCTAGCTTTATTTACACCTAGCTTTATTTACACCTAGCTTTATCTACACCTGTTTTATTTACACCTAACTTTATCTACACCTAGCTTTATTTACACCTAGCTTTATTTACACCTAGCTTTATCTACACCTAGCTTTATCTACACCTGTTTTATTTACACCTAACTTTATCTACACCTAGCTTTATCTACACCTGTTTTATTACACCTAACTTTATTTACACCTAGCTTTATTTACACATGTTTAGATTCAGCTGCCCATATGATGGCTACATATGGTTTTCATCTGAAAGTATCATTAAATGCCTTAATCAGATTTTATTTATGTAAAATTTTGATATAGTTTAAGCTAATGAGAGTGCAGAAAGAGGTGTTAAAGACGTCAAGGTGGCGATTTTATGCAATGACAACGTTACCTTGTTATGTTTGCGTTATGAGCCTCATTCTGGATTCAATATGGCTATTGCTTCTGATACAATATTTTATTAAATAATAATATACAATGTTGTAGGTGTCTGGTAGTCCAAGTCTATCTATAATAGAGTCGATCTCGATGTCCAGTGCTGGTGATATCAGATCTGGTATTAACGCCTTACAGTTTGCCTGTAGAACAGGTAATATAATCAATTTCTTAATACAGTTTACTCTGTGTAATCCGACTGGGACCGTAAAACAATGTCCAATTAGCAAACACATAGGAAATACATATAGGATAGCTTTCAACAATGGCCATCAAGATGTGTACCGTCTTAGTCAAGGGTAAATAGGTCACTAAAGGTCTTTGAAAACAGGCTTATCCCTTGACACCGACTTGGTGCCACCATTCTTTGATGCAACAGAGACAGGGAAATTTACATCAAATAAATGCTGATTTTGTTTGTTAATTCTATGTTTTACTCTGTTTCAGATACTTTTGATTTAAATTCCACGATATCCCAATCCAAACCTAAAAAATCAGGAAAAACGTCAGCGTCCAGATTAAAATATGAATCGAGTAAAAAACAAGATGGTGGAAAAAGAACAGAGGAAGAGTTGGGTGGAATCGGGGCTCGTGATACATCCTGTTTTTTATTTCATGCCATTGGTAAAATACTCTACAGTAAACGTGAGTTCATTTTATTTTATCCAATCAGATTACAATACTGAAAAAGTTAATAGGTAATACAAATCGACTCTATTTTTGCAAATAATCTCTGTTTTCTGAATGCTGTTTCATATTGATAGGAATAGCAGGGGTATGTTGCGGTCCATTAAAGTTAGATGGGTGTCAGATGAATGACTCTTTAAATATTTGTTTTAGGAGATGATCCGTCCACGTATACCGAGTTACCAAGGTTACCACCACATTTACAACATGAGGAACGTGATCCTTTATTACTTCAACCAGAGGTACGGTGTTTTCTTTTAATTTGTTTCTGTTGTACAACCCTAAAAGATGCACCCTCTTATATCCTATCCAGGCTATATAAATATCTCCTTGAAGGGATTGTCGTCTGCTTGGAGATTAGGTGTCATGGTTTTGAAACGTACTCAAGGTTAAAAAAAAATTCTGATGCTTGTGCCAGTACTCCCAAGAGTCGGCCCAATGTGTTCTTTCACCCACATTGTCTAATAATTTGCAGAGCACTGGAATGTTGCACTCCATTACTGTATCTCTGTTAAAAGTTTGATGTATTAAAATATTCCAACTTTTTATTTCAGGATGTGGTTGAGAAAAGTCAGATATCAGGAGATTATTTCGCGTCATTTTTACACCATAATTACGTTGATTTTTATACGAATATTGACGATGTAGTCAACGCCAGTGAATATTTTAGTTTGATTGACACTTTTTCTTCTCAATGGAACGTAAGTTGATCATTGATATTCAGGGGTGGGGAAGGGCAGTGGATCTCTTGCCCCCTAACCTGATAGTCCAGGGTTTAATCAAAGCATAAGTTTTATATCCTACAGGCTGTGACCAATGAAGATCCCTTACCAGTCAGAAGTGCATTTATTGATATCAAACCTCTATTTTGAAGATACGTATCACATATAATCAGTCATGAATCATTTTTTGTAATACATTTCTCTTATCTCTCTTGTAGACAAAAACAGTATTAGAAAATTACGCGACTTCGCTAGCATCAAGGGGAGTAATTCATTGTAATACATCGATAGCGAGGTATAATTCCCCACGGACTGGGGTTGGATGGAAACCATTACATAAATCTCAATGGTTTAATGTACAAAAACAAGTGAGTTCGGCTGTTTGATTTTCGCTGTTGTTCGTCTGAACTACATTCATGTACATTTTGCTATGTAGAAACCGTGTGTTTCATGCGTCTTTTAGAAATTGAAAAAGAATGGGCTAATGATGTTATCCAGGCAAAATTTATCTTACTTAAACTAACTAACTTGAAATTGTTGTTTTCAGTCGAAGAAGAATGCCAGTGTTGCCTGTAGTTTATTTAAAGGTAAATTCTTTGATATTTATGGGACAGTAGACCCACTCCCACCCCCCCCCCCCCTCCCCCCTCCTCTCTCCCACCTCCCTCCATAATGGTTTAACTAGAAATATTGTTGATTATCTATATCTATATTAATTAGTTGAAAGCTCAATGTCTGTATTGTTTATTGAATAATTGATATTACAGGTTATCATTGGGAACCAGAAGTATTATGGACAGAAATTTTACCCTATTTAAACAGAATTAACATCACTTTAAGAAATCCAGGTATGGTCAATATTCTATTAGAATTTGGTCATAATTATCACAACAGCCTTGCCATATATATATGAGGCCTCTCTTATAATAAAATGGCTTGTGTATTTAAAAGGAAATGGATCTGAGAAGCAGAAGTTCTAAGAAAAGTAATGCTTGGCCAAAAATGAGTCAAATAAACTAAAAAAATTTCTAAAAATATCCTTTTTTTTGTTTCAGCCCAAATTAATTTTTTACAAGAAATGGGACGATTTTGTCGGAGAGAAACTTACATTAGGTAAGTAAAATCCTAACTGAGTTAATTTGTTCAGATATTGAATGTTGAATCAAATACTGTACAATCAGCCCATCATCTCTTAGATACAATTACTGTATAATTCTGAATATAATACACACCTATTGTAACCTTCTAGTAAATCTGTAAACATAGACAATTTGGTGATACCAATTTTAACATTAATTTACTTTCAATCTGGTGATTGTTAAATGTTTAATTTTCTTGATATCGGTTGTTGAAATGGTCTTTTATTTCAATGCAAGAGCTAAAATATTACTAGTTTTACTTTATCTATGTTTTAGAAATGAAAAACTAAACGAACATGAAGTTGTTGACATGGATGATAGTGAAATGACATCACTTCCTGTGTCTATAAATACTGACCAATCAGGAAGCGATATGATATCTAACAGTCAATCAGAAGTAAAGAATACTCCAGTTGAAGATGATGAGGAAGAAGTTGAAATCGAGGAGTTCAATGATTCAGACTGAATCAAACAAGAACCTTGGAATAGAATCTCAACAAGCTGAAGAATACATCTCTTTGTCTTGAAGTGCCAAATGTTGTTTTTTCTGTGCTGAATGGAAGGATTATGTATTCTATGCTATAATTGTAATGTATATGAAAAGAAAGTGCTAATTGTATATAAGGAAATAAAGATATTGTTAGCTTTGTTGAATTTTGTAGTTATATTATTATATGGAAGCCAATTTTAGGTTTAGGTCTGACTGAAATAAGTGAAAGATTCAACATGGTAATAAAATTATGTAAATTACAATGTTGAAGCTTATAATAATAGGCCCATCTTTTATAAATAATAACACATATACAAATAAATAAGTTTTAACTTTTATATACAACATTTTCTTTCTAGAATATTAAATTACTTATTGGGTTTCATACTTTATGTTTATCTTGCTTTGTAGGATAACCAGCAGTTGGATTGTATTGCTGAAAAATGCTATGTAAACCAGAATTAAGCTAACAGCTAAAATATATATATAGATCTTTCTAAACTATTCCAAGTACTGACATATTTAATTGCACACTAATTTTGTTAATGCCCAATTGAAAGACCTCTGTCAGAATCTGTATAGAGGCTCAGTTTCTCAGACTACCTCAGCCCAAGACTAAAAGTTACGATGTAATATCTGAATGAGGTTTGAATGATGAAATTTCAGTCACTGCATTTTGAGTTTAATCTGTGAATTTTTTTGATTTTCAGCCTCGATTTTTGAGCAGATTCATTTCGAGATCATTGGTTCGTTTGTTCTTGACGACTTTAATGAGATGGTATGATATTAGACCAATCACAACTCCTCCTAGAAATACACCTATTCCAATACCAGTTACAGTTTCTACAAAATAATACACCAGTTATTATAATTCAATCCAGTCCAGGTTAGTATCATAAACATTTACAATATAATCTGAATCCTGCTGGCCAAGGTTTCTATTTATAATCATACAATCAAAACAATTCTGTAAAAGTGACTATTTTGATTCAATATTAGCTTACAAATAATTTTCAATCATGCATAAACTGGTTCTAAGAGTTTATGTACAGTCTGGTCGATTGGAATATGATAACCAACAATCTTCTTGTATTTGACAAAACTTAACGCTATCGGAGATTCTAGGAATTATTTAAAGCAAATTGTTATTAATGTTATTAAATTTACCTGTAGAATAGCCCGGTTTATTATTATCACCTCCACTATACTTGTTCGTCTGTCCGGATATTCCTAAAATAAATACAACCTCTAACATTTAAAATAACAATACAAAATGGTCTCAAATTGATTAAATACTGAAACTGAAAGGTGAGAGAGTTTTATGGTCTGATCTTGGAGGGTATAATCGTTTAAATAAGAACAATGAAGAAATACCTGGAGTTGGTGTAGTTGAAGTCGCTGGGTTGATAACATCTCTATAGTGTTCCCCTGGAATTAAAACATACTATTTATTCAAAGACAAGATTTTGAACGGTATATATTAGTAATAACATCAATACTATAGAACCAATTGTCGAGACTGTACCCCCATCCTCCACGACAAACGTCTCACCCGGCCACTCTCATCATTTTACATACTGTAAGAATTACCATTTTGACCTAAATGACAATTCTGTTGCTCCTACCGTCACCACCCCTACCTAAATGGTTCATCTAACCGCCATCGAACAGAAAACTACTCACTTGTGTACAAATTACACTCAGTTGACGTAACAACTTTAGCATTTGAATCGTTTTTTGGATGAACTGTTAGCAGACGACATTGGTTCGAGTTCGGACAGACGACAAAACTTTTACACGTCACTTCCTCTTCTTCAACACATAATTGAGCACACTGTGAGGGCGTCACACCGATATGTAGTTCATATTTGATATTAGAGGCGAAGGATTTGTTAGAATTTAACTGAAAATCTGGTAGATAATTTCCTACAAAATAAAAATATTTGGATATTTTCCCTCCGTAATGTGATAGATTAAATATGTATTAAACTTATCAGGAGAGCCTAGAATTACTGAATTATTCTAGAGAACATACAAAGAATATAATACCAAGAGTTCAGAGTTCAGATTGCTTTGATAACTGCTTCGATTCCCAGAACTTGATTCATCTTTTTCCCTTTCTCACCTTTTTTTATAACATTATTTTAAGAGTCTTGGTAGTTCACTTACTATATACCGTATATTTGCGTATATATTGCGCAGTTTTTAAAACGAAATAAACTTACTACAATAATGACTGCAAGAAGTATCCATCTCTCTGTCGCTACTGGAATGTTCCTGATCGTGGGTCTTCCAGATCAGACACTGAGAAGTATCCGGACAGTAGTCGAATGACCGACAGGTGAAGTCTGTTAGTTCAGTACAAAACTTGGCACATATTTCAGCAGACGGCGAGTTGGGCACCTCTTTGTCTGGAACTCCAGGAACGAAGGTACCAGGTAATTGATCATATTCACTGCCATAATTTCCTGAAAAGAAGAAAGGCGCATAACTTATGGAATTGAATGAAATGCAGTTTTGGCCAATCTCGCAGCGCCCATTTAATTTGATTAATATGGGCAACGCTATGCAGTATAATGAGGGACATTTTGCCACGACAGTGTTAGAAGCCTACTTTTCTTCAAATTCGGAATTATGTATCAAGATTTGAAACACTAGTGTCCAAAATCTTAATAAGATAGCTCGGATTTTGAATAAGAATATTTGGCAATACAGTAACACGGACGGACATGAGTGACGACAAGGTACGTTCCGTGGGCGTATAAAATAGACCTACTAGTATAAACTTGGCACTCGGGTTGGTTGACGATGACCCCAGGGTTTATATCAGGGTGGTATCTATTGAGTCGGCACTCCCCAGTGTCAGGACAGTACCCTAGACTCTCACACTGGAACCTATTCTCTGTCAGACAAAAATACATACAGTCACTGGCCGTGTTACCACTAGTCGTATCCTCTCCCATCACCAAACGATCTTCTTTATACAACTTAAACTTAGATTGAGTTAAATCTGAAATAGACATTCTAAATGACTTCTATCTAACTGGAGTGATTGATCAAATCGTGAAGTTAAATCAACGCATCTATTAATTAAATTAAACTAAGTCGGACCAGTCTCAGTTTATCACATTATTAATCTTATCATATTCAGATACCACGAAGTTTCGCTTGTGTCGGTGAGTAAACGTTATATTTTTGACAAAGTTAGACCTACCTGGTGTTTGTGGTGTAATCCGGGCACAATCTACTGGCTGAGCACTGACTACTATAATATCTACTCCTTTAAAATACAAGATTAAAAAAGGCGACAGTCTTAATAAATCTTTCTCAAAATAATCAATATTAGCTAGGTTAATTCTCCGATGCAAACATAAATTCTAAATAAATATTATTTGATACCTGGACTACCTGAAAGGGATTTCGAATTTCCAACCAATATCATACAAGATTGTCCAAATTTCTGTTTAGTTATGGAATTGCCATGCTATCCTGGAACGTTAATGTTAAGGCGATTTTATGTAAAGATGAAAGAAGAGAAAGAGTAGCTCTGATACAGATTGTTACATGGGTAGGTAGATATACATGTAGATCTAAATATAGAACTCACCAGTAGTTAGTGTAGGGGGAATCATAGGCTGTGGTCGAACACCAGATGATGTTGTCTTTCCACCATTGGTGTTTGGTTTCACTGAACTGCCGATTCGATCTGAAACGATTGATTGATTGACTCATATTCTAGAGCAAAAACTGTACTTCAAGATTCTTGGTAAAATCCGCTCAAACACACAGAGATGTCTAGAGCATTATGAACCCACCATAAGTGCATAATAGGCCCAATTCCCCATCTACCCCACCCACCCTTCAAGAAAATGGTCGCTACACGAGGAAAGTATTCAGAAGGCCAGATCGTAAACCACTATCCAGTATTTAAACTGATGAACAATATACCAACATGTATAAAGACTAGAGGTTGGATCTGATACAGTAGACGGGGTTGAACTTCCAGAAAAACGGCACAATCCATCCTGAGTTCTGGTAAACCGTCGACAAGAGTGGAACCCCATCACTTTACATGTTTCAGCACAATCTTCTGCTGTGACGTCAGACATCATGGCGCCTGTTTTATCAGTGAGCTGGGTTCTAGTCGTCTGCTCGAAGTAGTACAATTTATCTGAAATAAAAAGAACAGGAAGTATGAGAAAGATTGCGATGATGATAAGGTTGGAGAACGGTGATTATGGAAGATGGTGAAGAATGATGATGATTATGGATGATGACGATGATGGAATATGGCGACGGTGATAGATGATCTGAATGTACAGAAAAGACGCCGAAAAGCTTACTTACGTTTAGTAACAAAAGCTTTAAATTGATAATGCTTAGTATTAGATCCATTGAAACCAACTAAATCCAGGCTCAAAGCTTGGGAAATCCAACATTCATGGTCGTGGACATCAAAATAGAAAATGTCACAGGAGTGTTCTTCCATCTTGTAACACTGTTTGGCACACTGTTCAGCCGTTGGAACCCCGTCTATCTTGCTACCGCTGGAAGGAGGTGGAAAGTATCCCGGTAGTTCATTGAACCAGCTCAAATATTTCCCTATAATAAGATGACATGAAGCAATCAGTGACTGCACAAAGAGTAAATATCTGATGCCACTCGGCTGACATGGAAACAGTGTCTAGTCGTTCGGGACAATAAACCGAGGCACCGAGTGCTACAGGATGTGCACGTTAAAGATCCCTCGACAGTTGGAAATCGAAACAGAGCAGGATAATGCAGCTGTTCTGGGAAAGTTTCGCTCATTGCACCCTGCATGGCGTTGCCCTTCTTGGTGCAGAAAAGTAGGACGGAAAACTCCATTCACTTCATTTTATTTTCAAAGTCACGAAGACCAACTGTAATTGTGGTGAGGTTTTAATCGGTTGCACCGCCTCCATGTAGTCAAACGTCTTTGTGTTTAGGCTCACAAGACATTCAGCCAATACACAAGGATTGAATGCACGTGAGAGCAGGAAGAGCAAGACTCTTGAGCCAAACAAATAAGTAGCAAATTCTGGGGACTTTGGGCAAAAAACAAAAACAAAAACAAATTGTTTGTTCATGTACTTACTGGTATAAAGGGTACATTTTCCGTCGGTTGTGTATGAGGTAACATTGGCGTCTGGATACACCGAGCCTACAGTACAGTGTCCCACCAGGCCAGTGGTATAACAGAGAGAAAAGACTGGACAGAGGGTAGTCGGATGGTTGACACACCGAGTAGCACAATCCTGTAGAGAATACAGTCCGGGGGAGCTGGTACCTACTAGTTTGGTGTTTGGTTGGTACACTGTAAACTCTTGAAGATCATAATCTGAAAACAGAATACAGACCTCTGGTCTTCATGATAATACTAATTCTACTGTTTATAGTAGAATATTATAGGTAGTACAGGTACAGGTAAAGCGTATCGGAATCTAAATCGACGAGGCTTGGGTATTGAGAGTATCCTTCCGCTCAGTCAAATTTCTTAATTAGTTCAAGAACACTAAGAAGCAAGCTGTTAACTGGAAACAACGGTGTTCCAATTTAAAATGGTACATTTAGGCTTTATATGTATATTGATCAATTCTTCAACGCGTCCAAAATGACGACGGGCTATGATCGTGGTTTGTATGTAGGCTACAGTGAAATCCCTTGAAACCAACAACTCCACCGCATCAGACCTCACCTTCTGTTCCATTGATTGATCTTGTGTCATCTTCTTCAACAACTGTAGCTGTATATTGGTTTGTTGGCTGAAATATATTATAACATGTTTCAATGTCTGTTTTATATCGGGATAATAAGTATTAAATTACAGTAAACCTGATGGAGGTGGTGCAAGGATCAACATCAGCATGTCATAATGTTGGGCAGTTATTCTCTGTGAGCGGATGTGCCATGGAAGTAACATTTTTGTGTGTGAATGTTCTGTCCAGTTAACTGGTCAATCTAGTGTTAAAAAGGGTAACTCGTAGGTAATGTTGGTGTTGAACTTCGCTCACTCTATTGAATCCCAGAAAGGTACCCAAAATACCATACTACAAGTCTTTCAACTTGGAAAACTACCAACAAAATAAATCATCTTACCTTGCCGTCTATTTCCAGTGAAACTTGTAGTGATTTAGAATTAATCATAGATTTTAACCGCGAGTAGGTGACAGACAGTATAGGTTCTGTGATTCCTTTTATTACACTGCTTCCTGTAAATATAATCAAATGATATTGAGTTTTACGTCCTACTATTCCACACCTCATTCGGTTAATAAATACTTTCCTTGTTTATGCAAGACAAAGGAGTGCCGTGTACCTGATGATAGCGCGCAACAACTGGAGGTAGGCCTTCGAGGAGTCCTATAAGTTGAAAAACAAGGAACAAATTCAGTCAGGTATAACTCTGAGGAAAAGATCATCACCAGAAGAATGGTGAAATCGTATTATTAATATAAAACATAATAACACATGGTGACTTACTTTGTTTATATACACACGACCTACTGGCGGGATTCGATGGTGGTGAGTTCGAATCTTTCTCAAATAATGTACACTGTCTAGTCGAGTCACAGTACGTCAGACTAGAACAGTAGAACCCTCGTTCATCTTTATACATTCCACTGTCGTCCACCTGCGAGTTCTCACATGCATCAGCACATGCGTTCACGTCCACGTTCTCCAACACACTTCTCTGTCTCATTGTAACCGATGCATTTTTTATTTCAATAAATTTGTCTGAAAGTAAAAATGGAAGATAAATTTAAATTTCAGAGACAAATTTATTATTTTCTCTCGTTTAAGTAAAGTAAATGTAAAGGATTCTAAAAGCTTCTCGGGACGGCGACAGATCGAACATTTGTTAGAAAAATTTAAAAATGTGATTATGTAGTTATTTTGCCTCTCAAGAGATAGATGGGAACAAATCAGATCCAATTATTCCAAGACTTTTTTCAGTCGCAGTCTAGCTGCCCGCCCCGCACTACGGTACTTATGTACCTGTCTGCCACCTATAGGTTTATATAAATAAATAAAAAATACTTGCTGATAGACTGGACTCGATCAAAAATATCCAAAACAGCGAAAACTCCTTGGGAAGAATTGGTAGTGACGTTTGTCTGGTAGTGCGAGACTTCATGAAATGTAGACTCGGATATCCTTAATGGAGAAATAAGTAGTTGATCAGAAAGGTACCAACGGAACGTGTGAGATAAACTTATCGGGTTGTTAATAGCTAATGATCTCTCCATATCTGAAATAAATAGAAAGACAATTTTTACCTCACACCAGGAGCCAAAATAGGGTACATGTTTTATATTTTTCTCAATGGAAAGGGGCGTAGCTCCACACTACCTACTTCAAATGAAACAAGATTACTTCTGTATATTTACAGCCATGTACGACCATGATACCGTACCAAAATAACCAATTAAGTTCAAAAGTTCAAACCTGGAAAAAGAATTCTGACTCTCAGAGTATCGTCGTCTGTCCAACAGGAAGATAAATCCAGTTCTGATGATTTGAGATCGTCTGTAGAGAAACCAGTAATGTATAACTGCCTCGTACCCACCTGCATAAATATATAATTTAACAGCTTAATTGATTATTCCAATTTTCAGGAAATGGTCCAGAAATAGTGGAATTAATCGATCCACAGTCGTCAAATAGGTTATGAGAACGGTGCAAATGAAACCTTACTCAGACAAGTAAAACAGGAAAACTTCTTTACAATCTCAATTAAAATCCTGGTTTTAAAACAGTGTGTGATGTAAATGAAGAATAGATATAACAGAAAAAATGAAATGAATGGAGTTTTACGTCCTACTTTTCTGCTATAACAGAAATGACTTACATATTTAGTATTGATCAACAATAAGTAAGGTATATACTGATATTCTCCATCAAGGTTTTCATACAATTTCTACAATTAATATTAGAAATCAGAAATAAAGCTTCAATTTTTTGGCTCTCCGAGCCTGAGTGTTCGAGAAGACAAAGCAAGTTGCGAAGATCGTAGGTTACCTAGGGGCTACCTGAAGATAAGGCTAAATGGCAACTGGTGTGTAATATGATATGGTAATATAACGTATTTTATACGCGTATACTGAATAAACCCAGGTCCATAGCTAGAAAGGGGCGGGGTGGGTTATGTTGAACCCATATCGTTACCCTGATAAACTTCTATTTGGGTGCAGTCAATATATCTTCTGAAGAGGAACAAATGACCGTAATATCTTTATAAAAATGGGATAGGGTATAATTATGAAGAATTAAACGTACGGGAGTATAAAACATGGTCAATAAAGATGTAGAACCAGGATAAATAACAGCACTGTTAGTTTGATATACCTCCATCTGGATGTCATCCATGTACCTCTAGAATTAGAAAAATAAAGTACAAGCCCTTGCAAATTTATTCACCCCTTGTTACAGTCTGTTCTTGTTATCATAAAAAAAACATTACCTGTCCGATATATACATAATCTGCATCAAGATGTAGAAGTTGTTCAGGGTTCGGGAATGGGTAACTGCCGTTTTTATCCGGTCCTTTAGTCATGGCCATATAATCTCCCATTGGCATGACGGTACAGTTTCCTCTAGCCTGGTTTACAGCATATACTACACCTAGAACATTAAATAACTGTATAGTATCTTTAGAGAACGTTTAGTGGCCCCTCGCCCCTCGTTGAGCCTCATTCAAAGACTCCATCTTTTCAGCAACTTTAATACATGTATAGTATTTAACTCCCTTGCTCAGTGCTATGATGTTACAAGCCCGTGTCGCTTCCAGTCTATTAAAGCCCGTGTCGCCTCCAGTCTATCAAAGCCCGTACCGCCTCCAGTCTTTTCAATCCATGCCGCCTCTAGTCTATTAAAACCCGTACCACCTCTAGTCTATTTAAGCCCGTGCTCCCTCCTGTCTTTTAAATCCCGTACCGCCTCCAGTCTTTTAAATCCATGCCGCCTCTAGTCTATTAAAGCCCGTACCGCCTCTAGTCTATTAAAGCCCGTACCGCCTCTAGTCTATTAAAGCCCGTGTTGCCTCCAATCTATCAAAGCCCGTACCGCCTCCAGTCTTTTAAATCCATGCCGCCTCTAGTCTATTAAAGCCCGTACCGCCTCTAGTCTATTAAAGCCCGTACCGCCTCTAGTCTATTAAAGCCCGTGTTGCCTCCAATCTATCAAAGCCCGTACCGCCTCCAGTCTTTTAAATCCATGCCGCCTCTAGTCTATTAAAGCCCGTACCGCCTCAAGTCTATTTAAGCCCATGCCGCCTCCTGTCTTTTAAATCCCGTACCGCCTCCAGTCTTTTAAATCCATGCCGCCTCTAGTCTATTAAAGCCCGTACCGCCTCAAGTCTATTTAAGCCCATGCCGCCTCCTGTCTTTTAAATTCCGTACCGCATCCAGTCTTTTAAATCAATGCCGCCTCTAGTCTATTAAAGCCCGTACCGCCTCTAGTCTATTTAAGCCTGTGTCGCCTCCTGTCTTTTAAAGCCCGTGCCGCCTCCAGTCTATTAAAACTCCTTCAACCTACCAGAAGCGTAATCCTGTATTTCAGCTATAGGATCAGTTACCCAGTAGGGGGCCTCACTGAAATCACCAAACCTGTCAACTCGTATCATATATTCGTCTTTATCATACCATACCTGGCGAAAAGATAAAATATATTATTAAAGTAGGCTAATGCCAGGTTATGACAAATATTATTAATCATTACACACTGCAGGACGTTACCAAAAAGGATGTTACAAAAATTTCCTTTAAAATCTTGTGTATAGAAGCTATATGCTGTTATTTTGGGTTTCGGGTTTTTGCGATTCGGATCGTTAGTACTTGAGTTTTTTAGACTCTATATTGATCGACCCAAAGAAGGTTTCTCCAGAGAGAGCACCTAAACTATATGTATAAAGTATGTTAACTGTATTAATTTCCATTTAACATTTTGTGTGTCCAAAAAAAAATGCGTATTAAAAAAATGCGTAAGATACTCGAAATTATTCTATATGTACCTCAGTAGTGTCTACAACATCATCAGATGGTACGACAAACTTGGACGTGAAATGATAGGTCGGTGGTAATGGGGGCAGGGCTTTAGATATCTTTCTACCAGGACAAAACACATCTACTGGAGTCTACAAATAATTTTAATTCAGATTTATACATAAGACATAGGAACATTGATCACACTCGTTAATAATAAATAATAAAACAGGCAAATCTTCTCGTATGGAAAGGCTTGTTTAGATGCGCACACACAACACATACTTGTCATTTAAATGCTCTACAACATAATCCCCAATCACCCATTTTTTTGTAGAAAATCTCTTTAAACCAACCTGAAAGTAATCCTGATTCTCTGGTATTTGTGGATTATAATCGAAATAATCAATCTCAATGATATCTACTCCTTTCTGGAAGAGAACAGCTCGTACTGGTATCGCTGGGAATTGAGTAACTGTTGACCAGTTTACATCTAAAATCAAATCCAACTTCTAATTAAGGTAGGGTTGTGAAGTTAAAGGGCTATAGCATTGATATCAATTTTCTTATATCTCGAGATTGTCGTGTGTCAGCTGTTGTTTTTGTGAAGTAAATAAGACTTTGATTCTTAATTAACGTTTTGTTCATATGTCTCAAAGATAAACGAGTCGTTAGACATTTATTAAAATCTAAAATGTCAAATGAACTTACTTGTAAAATAAATCTGGATACTAAAATCGGAATCCGCTGAATCTATCGCCAGCCAATAATCACAATGTATACCTCGTATAGATTTATCTCCCTTGTATACCTTGTAGGAAATTAATACAGCTCATTTATTCTTAATGAATCATGACCTTAGGATATTCACCATTGTGGATATTACATGTCACAAGTGGGTCGACCTAGATATCAAAAAGGGCTCTATTCCTGTTGTTCATGACACTTATGATACAGAAATGGACATCATCGAGAATGTACAAGCACAGGTGTGTTAAAGGGAGAATCTAAAATGTGAAAAGTGAAAAGAGATACAGGTGTTATCTGGTGCTTCCCAACCAATATTTACTCACCAAGTTCAGTTGTTTGGCCGTGTTGAAGATTTGATAAAAAAAAATCTTGGTGCCCACCGATTTATCTAAACTACCATCAGTTGTTTCCACTGTACATTTTTTATCTGGAAATGTCCCTGTGAGGTAGGTATAGTAATCATTTTAGGATATATTTGGGATCAATATCAATTTATAACAAAGATATTTTAGCTTAGTCTAAAAACTTGCGAAGTTTGTACAATGCTTATTGGATAAGATAGCATATTTGCTAGCTAACATGTATGTGCTATACATAATTTTTAGATTCGTGTAGGAGTCGGTGCTAAATCATCTGCTAGATTTGGTGCCAAATTTCCGTGATAAACTATTAGCTAGATTTAGGTGCTAAACGTTATGCTAAACTATGTGGTAAATTGATGCTAAACTTTGTGGTAAATTTTATGCTAAACTTTGTGGTAAATTTTATGCTAAACTTTGTGGTAAAGTATGTGGTATCGGGTCTCCTTACCTGATATAGTGAACAGTTGTGATGTAGCATTATCAAATATAGTATGTGTTACTTTACCGGCTCTGGTAGATATGAGTTCATATTGGCCGGTAAATGTATTGACACGTTCCTCTAAGCTTATAGAATAGGAATGGTTGATGTAGTTTACTTCAGATCTCACGCTGTATTCTATAGAATTATAAAATGTTATGAACCAAAATCAAAGACAGTCTGTGAAATATTTTATTGAACAGAGAATTTGGTTGGTTGAATATCTGAAGACCTAGAACATGAGTTGAACATGAAGTTACCCCCCATGTTATCAATGGATCAATGGATATCTACTAATAAGAAAATGTGATTATTAAAACTTACCTGAAGGGAGAGGTAAATCTTTAACTTGGTGTCCACCTGTGTCCCCTGCCGCCTGGTAAATAATTCCGAGAATCAGACACAATAACAGGACTACCTAAAAACGGAGGTAACCATTGTTAGAGGCATTGATATCGTGTCAGAAATTTGGGGGTGGGGAGCACATAGAAAAGAGTGAAGCTAATTTGGTCCGTACCCGCTGGGTAGGCTGGAACTGAGCTCATAATGAAAAATTGATATTTTCAAATTTAATTCCATCCTAAATTTTTCGCACTATAAAGCATTTTTTGAAAAAAGCGTGTGCTTACCTTCATTTTGAGATAATAAACTTAGGCTCGAGACTTCATTCTGAATTCCAGAAAATAATTATTTAAGAGAAAGTAGGTCTATTTAAATATTTAGATTTTTTTTATCCAAACCGTCGAACTCGGATGCAGACAATCAGCTAATAGATATAAAATTTGATAACTTATCTCGACCTAGTTATAAATTTAGATATTTCTAATATTTTATCCCGATGTCAGAATAATTATGGTGATGAATACAAAAGCTTAGATTATTACAGTGGTTGACAGTTTTCTGTGTTCAGATCACTGCAACAAACTATATCGTGTCCACCTAACTAGCAGATTGTTTGGTACCAGAACAGTTTTCTGAAATTTTTTTTATGATTTGTCGAGTTTTTACGTCCTACATTTCTGCACCTGTTAACAGGCTGTGCATGTTAAAGATCCGACAGTAGGAAATTGAAAAAGAGAAGATTAATACCGCTGTCCTGGCAAAATTTCCCTCATTGTACACTGCATGACTTTGTCAATATTCATTAGTCCTATTACTTGAAGAGGAGTAAGACGTATACACCATTCATTTCATATTTTCATTTTCAATGAAGCCAGGCTTTGCCATGCAGTGTACAATGATAGAAATTTTTACAGAACAGCAACATAAGCCTTATTCTTTTTAGTTGAGGGATCTTAACGTGCACAGATTGTAGCACACAGTGCCTCGGTTTATTGTCCCTTACAAATGACTAGACACTTTTTCTATGCCAGTCCATGCGACCTGCATTCTGTGTTTTACTGGCTGTGCATGTAGAAGATACTTTTCTGCATCTAATTGAGCTGATGAAGATAGGCAACGCTATGTTGGGTGCAATGAAGGAAATTTTGTCAGGAGAGTGGCCTCTTTTCTTATTTCTAACTTTAACGATCTTTAACGTGCACAGTCTGTAGCACACAGGGGCTCGGTTTAACTAGAGATCAGATGGAATCTGCTAGATAAAGGAGTGATGCCAAAGGAACAATGAATCTTGCCATTTATTTTGATAGTTTATTAGCTCATTGTAAATAGAACAACCCAACCTATGACCCCTCTAAACTATAGTATTTTAATAGACTATTCCATGTATTTATTGCCATGCTATATTCTATATACGCCTCTCTCTACTACATCATCCCATAGACTGTGTTGTTCTTCTGCATTCTATAAGTTGATGGTTTGAAAAGACATTAGGTAACAAAACCTGTTCATTATTTCACTTATTTGCACTGACCCCCCATGTGCACTGACATCTCGTACTGTATCATTGGAGACACATTTCAATATATTCTCTGGAAAATCAACACAGAAATTGATAAAGAAAACACTTTAATTCACTTTGTTTCACAATTTATTGATAATAAAATTTCAAAACTGTCCACGATATTTGTTTACAATGGAGCCCTGTTACGCTTCGCCTCAATATTTTTCAGTTGATTTTATCATTTCCCATTTAATCCCTGGTCTCCATGTGGCTGTGGTATTTCGATATAATATTGTTCTTGACAATGAACCATAATTTATGGTGTTTAATCCTCTATTTTTAAAGAGAAAAGTTTTTTTCCATAAGTTGTCATTTAACGGTCTAAGGGAAAGAACTCTTGTAATAAATTGCAGTAGGAGTTGTCTGCCCATGATAATAGTCTTGATTGTCACACTATCATAGCTTAATAGACGTCCAAGACTCGATTGTCACACAACGCAATATTCATTCAGGCAAAACCGCCCATACGTCAATTCGACCCAGATGAGTACTTTTTCTTGAAACAACTAAATGGCGATATTTAGATAGTTTCTACTAAATCTAAAGTCAACTAGAATAATTTTTCATGCCTGTTTTGTTGGAAAACCAAAGAATTTGAAAGTATTAGTAATTTCTTGTGAACTTGTGCGAAGTGGCTAGGAGGGCGAAATGACCCATAAAATACCTTTATTGACTCCTAAAGATGAGAGCTATCAAGAGGAAAAGACAACTCTGTCCATACTAAACCGACGTCAGACTACAGTTAACCAACAAATTAATCCATTTTACTCTATTATCCTTAATAAAGAGAAAACTAATAAATTTTCCACGAATTTGGATCTTTTTTCATGAAACTAGGCTCTCCATTGTTAACCTGAAGTAGCATAAAGTCTATTTGAGTCATTGTTACATTGTAGAGTCTTGATTTGTTTACAAATGTTTTTGAAATAAGTAGCAACAAAGTCAAACATGATACACATCCCTAAGCCACTGTTTCCTTTTGTGGAGAATGAGACACCTTTTTTTAAGGAAGAAAGGGGCTGAATAATTTATTATTCATTCTGTTCCTTTTTTTTTTTTAAACCAAAAGAAAATAATTCTTCGCTGTTAATTTGTTTTGTGTCTTTATTTTTTTGGTTTGTAGAAAATGAGAGAAGCCAGTTTGTTTGAATTTTAATTTCTGCATTTTTGTTAAATAAATTTTATTTATGATTTGTCATGTTTTTACGTCCTACATTTCTGCACCTGCTAATAGGCTGTGCATGTTAACGATCCGACAGTAGAATATTGAAAAAGAAAAGATTAATACCGCTGTCCTGGCAAAATTTCCCTCATTGTACACTGCATGACTTTGTCAATATTTATTAGTCCTATTACTTGAAAAGGAGTAAGACGTATATGCCATTCATTTCATATTTTCATTTTCAATGAAGACGGGCTTTGCCATGTGTTTGAGATGCGATGAAAAACGATGTGATGTTTCTAAAATATTTATGCGATGAACATGAACGATGACAAATGATGATGTAGCAGTGTCGAGCAGGCAGAAGTCCAGTTTTGTTGTCTTGGACAACCTAGTAATGTTTCGTGTTCAGTCGAGTCATTCGGATCATTGTTCACGAACATTACAGGTAGTCCGAAACACCAATCCGGAACACCATGCAGTGTGCAATGAGAGAAATTTTTACAGGACAACAACAGAAACCTTATTCTTTTTAGTTGAGGGATCTTAACGTGCACAGACTGTAGCACACAGTGTCTTGGTTTATTATCCCTTACAAATGACTAGACACTTTTTCAGTGCCAGCCCTTACGACCTGCAATCTGTGTTTTACTGGCTGTGCAGGTAAAAGATTCTTTAATACATCTAATTGAGCTAATGAAGATGGGCAACGATATGTTGTGTGCAGTGAGGGAAATTTTGTCAGGAGAGCGGCATGAGGGGATACTTCGAGGCGTGTCTCTATGGCTTCAGTACGAGATGCCAGTGCCTTGGTAGGTTTTAATGAGACTAAATGTGAGGAAGTTCTCACCACTCTATACTGCAATCCAACCCGGTGCAGAGATGTGATGTAAAAACCAACTGCACTCAACCCTTCTTCTTCCACTCTGATGTCTCTCCGCGCACTGAAATATTTACCAAGCTACAAAATTGCAGCCAGAAAGACAACATCCCTTAAGAAAGGAAAAGGAAAAAGAGGTCAAATGCTTATCTCAAGCCATAGTCTGAAGATCTTAGTTAGACGGAAGGAAGGAAGGAATAGAACAGTGGCAGATATCTGTAGAAAGACACATCTGCACATCTCACAATCACTCACAAAAAAGGTTACTATAAAGAGATCCAAACTGAAAGGAAAATACACTAAAGACTAAACAAACCAGCCTGCATTAAGGAAACCATCTTTATTTTTTTGAGAAATTTAAGTTTATTATAGATAAAAAATTAAAATAGTTTCTATTTTTTTTTTCCGCCCCCAGTATAATTCTATAATTGAACAGCTGGTAGACCTGTTTTCCAAACGACCCTACACTCTTAGATTACCTTACAAGACAAATTAATCGAGCTATAAATTCAACAGGCGCAGTCTTTTGCATGAAACACGAAAACCTTTGCCCAGTGTGCTACAGGCTGTGTACGTTAAAAGGTCCCTGGGCAATTAAATCTAAGACAAAATTTTTAGGCTAATGCCTATATGTCGTGGCAAAATTTCCCTTATTGCACACTGCATGGTAGGCTATACACAGCCAGTCTTCATTAGCAGCTGGAGAAATGTGCGATGTACACTCTCCATTCATTTCATTTCCGAAATTCCGCAAATCACAAATAAGGATTTATCTAAACAAAAACCAGACATCTTAAAACCAGCGTAGGGCCTTCTCACATTTTCCAACACCAAAGAAAAGTTGATAAAGACTTGGAATGTTGTTTTTTTGTTTTTTTTTTGTTGATTTAAAAAAAAGAAAAAGGAAAAGAATGAATTGAAAATATAATCCAAAAAAAAAAAAAAAATAAATAGGCCTACTTCTTTCTTAAAACAGGCGCCTCATTCCCCACAAAATGAAACAGTATTTTAGGGATGTGTACAATCTTATATGCCAGTCATGCTTGACTTTGTTGTTGTTTGTTGCTCATTATATCAAACATATTTTTAAACAAATCAAGACTCCACACTTTGACAGAGACTCTGGTAAAGTTTATGCTTCTTAAGTTTAACCATGGGCAGCTTCTTAATCTAGTTTCATGCAATAAAGATCCAAATTCGTGGTAGTTTCATTAGTTTTCTTTTTATTTAGCAGAATAGAGTAAAATGGGTTAATTTGTTAGTTATTTGTAGTCTGAATTTGGCTTAGTACGGACTGAGTTGTCTTTTCCTGTTACTAGCTCTCAGATTTAAGAAATCAATAAAGGTATGCTAACGTCATTTCGCCCGCTTTACCACTTCGCCCCAGGCTCTCTTGAAGAAAAATAATAAAACTTGCCAATCTTTCAATCATTTACGATGTCAAACATTTTGGGTTGTTCAAACAACCTTCGCCTTTGGTAAAAACTGTCTAAATATCGTCTTAGAGTCGTGTCAAGACAAATTTATTTACCAGGGACGAAATGACATAGAGGCGGTTTGGCCTATAATAAAATTACATTGTATGACAATCAAGACTTGAGCGTCTATTTAACTTTGATAGTGTGACGATCAAGACAAGTATCTACTTTCGTTTTTTTTTCAACAAACATGGCGGACACGGTTTTGAAAT